TACAGGAGGACTCTGGCACGGTTTCCGTGGCTGGCGTGGTATGTACTTCAGCGTGATAGCTTTTTAAAATTTACATGCCCTTATTGAACCTCATCCTCTCCATCTTTGAAAACCACCTTGTCTTCTGGTACTCTGTTGCTCCTTTAGACTCTCTTGGTGCTGTGACTTGATGATCCATTACAAAGTCTACAGTGTGTTCAAACTCCGAGGCTTCCACACAACGGTTGGATAACATTCATCTCCGGATTTCTGTTTGAGCCTGAGCTTCTGTGTTCTAGCCACCTTGTCTGTTAGGGCCGCCTTCTATCCCAGCAGGCAGTTAGGCTGTCAAAGGGCAGAGTCCCGACATTAGCGGTTTTCTTTTTACATCTATACATTTAACTGTGAGTGTGTGTGTGTGTGTGTGTGTGTGTGTGTAGGGGGGGCGGCGTGCGTAGGATCAGGCTTAGTGGAAAAGCACTTTGCCTAAAAGACCTGTAGCACTGACTGTTTCTGTAGAATCTGGGTCCAAGTACAGTGTTGACTGTAGTCAAAGAGTACAGACCAGCAATCGAGCAGCAAATCATCAAACAGAAAATGAAGGTGCATTATTTAAATTACTCCGGATAAATTACCTCTTTTAAGACAGAATCTATAGATTCTCCATGGAAGTGGATCTTAACTCAAACACATCTGAACTTTACCTTTGTATCAGACTTGACACATTTCCCTGAAGAGTAGGCACCTGCAGAACAGCTCTGTTAGAACAGCACGCCAGACCTTAGCCACCAAGGATCTCCCGTCCAGCCCAGGGGCATTTCCGAGAGTGACAGCAGTGGTTGTAAGCACACTTATGTCTCTTCGTCACGTGACTTCCTCCTGAAGCAAAGCTTTTCAGACCCCTAGAATTAGAGAGAGGCGCCTATTTTTAGTAATTATTTCCTAAACGTTTCTTTGATAGGAGGTAGGGTCCCACACTGTAATCTGGGTTGACCTTCAATTTATGATTCTCCTGCCTCAGCCTGTTCTTGGATTATAAGTATACACTGTCGAGCACAGCTAATAGACACTTTTTGTGGTGTTGTTTTATTTTGTTTTTGAGACAGGGTTTCTCTGTATAGCCCTGACTGTCTGGGAACTCTCTCTGTAGACCATGCTATCCTTGAACTCACAGAAATCTGTCTGCCTCTGCCTCCCAAGTGCTGGGATAAAAGGCGTGCCCTACCATGCCCAACAGCAATAATATCTTCTGAGTACAATGATGTGATGTTACCGCTTTTAACTCAGATTTGTGTACAGTCTCTTGCCATCCTCTTGTCACTGAGTGTCACCCTGTCTTTTTCAGTGAAACTCTTACTCTGAGCAGTTTCAATTATGACATGGAGTAGGTCTCGGGGCATGTTGGTGGATAGGAGGAGCTGGGATTGTCTGTTTGTAATCCGTGTTGTTCCCAGCTATAACCAGCGATGCCTCCTCCCCCCAAAGCTTCTTTTAATTGTTCGGTGGTCACTGGAAAATAAACCAGGCTTGAGAGGGCATTTTATTCATCCTTAACATTACTTTGCCGGGACGGTCTAACAGTATCTGTAATGGGATGGCTTGGAAGAAACAAACTTCCTGTTGCATGGTTCCGGAGCCTGAGATTCGAAAATCAAGTTGTCATTGTCAGCACGGTTGCTTCCCGCGTCCCTCCTGGCCCCGCGCTCTGCTGGCCGTCTCTCTGCATCACCTCAGTGTCTGCCCCATCCTCAAATCTTTGTGAGTGTACGTGAATGTCCCCCTGTGAAGTCACAGCGAATCAGGGTTCCCTCAGAATACCTTGCTTTAACGTAATTGCCATTGTGAAGATCATCCAAATAAAGACGACACTGGTACTGAGGTAAAGGTACCAAGGTAAAGGCTGAGATCCCAGTGTCTCCCTACGGAGGGAACACAACGTCAGCTTCTAACATTTCCTTTAACATTTCCTTGGCTTGGAGGCGGGATTCTGCATTGTCCAAATGGTCTAGGACTTCAATACCATTTTCTTGATCTAAGGGTAGGTTGAAAAGGCTTTTGGCCCGAGCACAGGAGGAGACAGAGGGGAGTAGAGCATGTGTGCGTGTGTACGTACATGTGTGTGTGTGTGTTTCTGATTCATTTAGGTTATTACTTGATGTGAAAGTGTGAGCCCCCTAGTGGCCTTCCGTTTTAACTTCTCCTTTCTTTGGGACGCCAAGGGCTCAGCTTCTCCCTGCTTTTTTCTAACGTCACCAGGCACAAGCACACTCACGTTCCATACAAAACAAAGTGGCTGTGGGCAGGGAGTGTTTTTTTTTGTTGTTTGTTTTGTTTTGTTTTGTTTTACGAGACAGGGTTTCTCTGTATTGTTTTGGAGGCTGTCGGTCCAGCCCGGCCTCGAACTCACAGAGATCCCCCTGCCTCTGCCTCCCGAGTGCTGGGATTAAAGGCGTGCGCCACCACCGCCCTGCTGGGCAGGGAGTGTGTTATCATTCATCCCTTTGCACAGTAAACGGTGCTCTGGGAAGCACGTGTGACCAGCAGCGTAGCTTGCTCAAGAAAAATGCACTCAGTATAGCCTGTGTGTTCTGAATGTGTTACGCGTTACGTGTCAGACCTCATGTTTTGAATTTTGCGTAAAGATCTTCTCTTAACATTAATGGAGACTTGAAGGGAATCTCCAGCTGTAGACCTGGGTGCGTCTGGGCCTTTGGCTCTTTGGGTAGAGATACAGTTGTGCTGGACAGAGCTGCTCACCGTGCGCATGTGTTACACAGACACCAGCTGGAGATGCCGGGACATTACTCTCATCTGGCCGCCTTCTACGAAGACAAGAAAGGGGTGCTCCATGCTGGCCCTGGGAGGGGCGGCAGCTTGCCACCGGTCTACTGGCTGCCCTCCATCCACCGCTACATGTACCCTGAGATGAAGGTGAGACTGGCCATCCACACATCTGGGAACAGCTGCAGATTAGTTTTTAAGTGACAAGGAACTTATGCCCCAGCGTCGTGCAGAATTTTGCTTTCGATAACCCTGGGTTAAACATTCTGGATTCATTTAAAAGATAAGGCAAATTTACCTTAGACAGCATGCCGTCTAGAGCCTTCTATAGTCATAGCTGGGGCCTCGTGGACTCCTAGGATGCGAGATGCTTTTGATCGTGCTGGCTGCCTCTGCTGTTATGAAGCTAAACATCTGAACTAAAGATGGGCAGACAGCTTATTTCTTAGCTATGCTACTTTGACATTATTTTATGTGGAGTTTTTAAAGCATCCTTTGCATGTGCACTAGCATGTTGGTTTAACGTTAACAGCAAATCTGGCTGTGCAGTGGGTGTTCAGATCTGAAAGGGCCTAAGAATATGAACTTCTGCTTTCTCTTGCTTCTCCTGTGGCTGTGCAAGGACTCCTCTTGCAAAGAAATAATGCGTGAGTCTATGGGGTAAGGCTTAGCTAGGCGTTCTGATGTGTGAAGAGACACCATGGCCGTGCAGCTCTTACAAAGGGAAGCATTTAATTGTGGCTGCCTTCCAGGTTCAGAGGTTTAGCCCATTATTGTCATGGAGGGAAGCCTGGTGTCAGGAAGAGAGAAGCTGGCCCTAAAGAGACAGGCATTTGCCCTAAAGCCCGCCTCCAATGCTTCCCTACTCCTGCAAGGCCATGCCACCGAATAGTGCCACTTCCAGTGAGCCTATGGGGCCATTGTCATTCAGAACATCACAGGATGGGAGTTGTTGACAAAAGCATTTGGCTACATGGATAAGACAGGGTGCTAATTCCAGACCTGTTGGCTGTGAATGGGGGAGGCATGATTCTGTTTTCTCAGCATATCTTATGAGTTAGGGATTGTGCTAATTTATCAGTACCTGTTGCAAGACTCTTTTAAAGGAAGGTTTGAAGAAAAGTGTTCTGTTTTGGTTTTTGTTGTTTTGTATCCTTGTTTTCTATTTAAAGCAATCGAGGCTTATCAATGAATGGTTCAGGGACTTGCTTTAGGCCTTAAAGGTAGGAGACCAGCAAAATCTAAACCCAGGACTCTGCCAAAGCCAGGGTTCAGTCCCTGCCCTCCTTCCCTGCTTTTGCAGACATATGGACAAGAAAGCATAGACACGCTCATGGACCAAGAGCAGATTCACTAAATGAGATTGAGTTTGTGTGCCATTTGGCCATGAGGAAAAAAAAAGTAATAAGTAAGATTTTATCAGCACGCTGAGGTATTTATGTTAGGTATTTAAACTAATTCAAGACAGGAACTCAGTAGTATAGGAGTCAGAAGGCTGACGAGCAAGCAGAGAACACAGGTCTACCCTGATTTGGCCAGCTACTGCTGCCTAACAAATCACCAAGACTAAAAGCTTGAGGCAGCGTATGTATGTGATCTCACAGTTTCTGCAAATAAGGACTCCAGTCGTGGCTTAGCTGATTTAGGGTCTGCTATGAGAGACTTAAGGGTTGAGCCAAGGTTGGAGTCTCAGCGCAAGGCAACTGGACAAATGCCCGTTTTTCCAAGTTCATATGGGAGTTGACAGGATCAGGTTTCTTCAGGGATGCTACACTGAAGGCCTCTGTTAGGGTTTTCCCTCAGTCCTCCACCATATGGGTCTCTCCAGCTTAGCAGTTTGCTTCATCAAGGTCAGCAAAAAGAGATGATTTGCAGAATTAAGTCAGAATTCTTTGTAACCGAATCCTAGAAGTGAAAGGCCTGCACCGGTCGCTTTAGTCTCTTAGAAGCAGGTCCCTCAAGAGGAAGAGGGGCTGTACAAGGCTGTAAATTCCAGGGCCACAGGGGTTACCTTCGATGCTGCTTGCCGTATTTAGGGCCAGGGCACTGCACAGCCGGTGTTTGCATCTCTGAGGGAAGCACTGTCTGAGACAGTCGGTAAGGGGCGTAGGCTGTGCTCACTATCACCAAAACCCAGGGCAAGGTGGCCGACATCTGACCTGGATGTTCCTGGCCTCCTCTCCCCATAGGCAAAGAGGGACAAATAAGAGAAGAGATAATCGCCACAGGCTTTTGCCCCGTTAATGGCAACTCATTAACTGACCTGCCAGACCCTCATAGATGTGGTGGGAAGGTACTTGTATAGGCTGAAGATAAAAATGTGTGTGCGGGGGCCGGGGGGCTCCATTTCCAGAAAACAGCATGTCAACAATTAAAATTAAAAATAAAGGATCCTTTTATTTAAGCAGCCCCACTGCTGGGATCTGTCCTTTAGATAGGAAAACACCAGAATTGTATGTGTGTGTGTGTACACATATATGCATATGCATTTATACATATAACTGTGTCACATAGTAGACCACTAGAGTATCCATACAGTAAACAGCCATTATGATTAACCAGAGCATAAGACGGGGACAGGAAAGGTCTACCAGGTCTGTCTTGTGTGGGGGTAGCAAGGGCAGAAAATTGTACCTACTACGATCACACTTTGTTGAATGATCACAGTGTCAGATAAAAACCATCATATGTGTATTATGTGTATTTTCTGTGAAGACAGAAAAATGTGGGTGAACACACACACTTGGTTACTGATGCCTGTGTGACCCGAGAGCAAGGTGAAGTATGGAGAGTGGGGGAGGGCGGGGCTTCTGTTTACAAAATGACAGCACTGGAAGAAGTGGCGTAATCTAGCCCTGTGTTCTGGGTTCTGTTTCCACACAGGACACATCTCTACGGAGCACATACAGGCTTTTTTCCCCTCATTATTCTGCAGACAGTGCTGCACAATGATTACACAGTGTCTTAGTTAGGGCTCTATTGCTCTGAAGGGATACCATGGCCATGGCAACTCTTAGAAGAAAACCTTTGTTGGGGTGCCTTGCTTACAGTTTCAGAGGTTCAGTCCATTATCATGGAGGGGCATGGCAGAGTGCAGGCAGACATGGTGCTGGAGAAGGAGCTGAGAGCTCTACATCTCTACAGCAGGCTACAGGGTATCTTGAGCTCATAGGAGACCTCAAAGCCTGCCTCTGCAATGACACAATTCCTCCAACAAGACCACGCCTCCTCCAGTAGTGCTACTCCTGCCTTTGCAACCCCTGTACACACACGGGCACACCTGTGCTTGGGGCCTGAGGAGAGCTTGGATCCCTTGGATCTGAAGTTTCAGGGGTTTGTGGGATGACGGTATGTGGTGCTGTGATCCGAACTCCGGTCGTCATGATTGTACATTAAGCCTGCTGAACCACTGAGCCATCTCTCCGACTTCCAGACTGCCCAGTTTTAAATTTAAAAAATCCAGCTGTTTTCCTATGCGTGTCTCTCCAGAGTAAAGTGTTTATAGTCCTTACATTCCAACTTCATTCTGTTGGGGTGGGCTCTCGAATCAAAGAAATCAAGCTACCATTTTGTGGGGAAGCAACTGTCTCTGAATGCTCGATGGTACTTTGGGGCTTTCACAGAAGGCTGTTCCACAGTGAGAACCTCTAACAAGCTGCCCACCTGCCCTTGTGTGTTTCCAGATCACACACCCGGCTGGCTGCATGTCTCAGTTTATTAAGTTCTTTGGAGAACAAATCCTCATCCTTTGGAAGTTTGCCTTACTCCGAAAGCGCATTCTGATATTTTCTCCCCCGCCCGTGGGCGTCGTGTGCTACAGAGGTAACTAGAAGCCCAAGTGAGGGGGTCTTCCTAAATGCCCAGTACATATGCTGTCCTAGTCCTTCAGTGGCTAAGAAAGTTAGGAAGAGTTTGGGCTATATCAGTGGGATCAAGGCTTCTGGTTGGATTTGTGTTTTAGAATGTGGAGTCTAGAGGCAGCGAAGATGGGTGGGGTGTCACCTTCAGATCAGGATCAGGGGATGAAGCAGAGGTGATGGATTTTAGGGAAGAGGCAAACTGTATGGAGTAGTCCAAAGTTCGCAGGGATGTAGTTGGGAGAAAAAAGTCTAGGATGACAAGGATGGTGGGACCACCAAAATGGGGGACCAAGGGGGGATGGGGAGTTAGTTTGGGTATGTACCGCTTGAGAGGACACTTCCAGGGAGGTGTACATCAGGCACTTGTGTGATTAGGTAGGGACCTGGGGGGAAAGAGTTGGGCTTGTGAGATGGTTTGAGAGTGACATAAAGCCTATTTAATAACCCCGGGGCGGGCAGCATCGCCTGGAGAGAGTGTGAGGAGTGAAGGGGTCAAGTGGAAGAGGATGGCAAACAGTGGTTCAAAGACAGGAGAATGATGGAGATGATGGGGAATGATGGAGATGGTGGAGAAGGATGGAGATGATGGAGATGATGGGGAATGATGGAGATGATGGGGAATGATGGAGATGGTGGAGAAGGATGGAGATGATGGGGAATGATGGAGATGATGGAGAAGGATGGAGATGATGGGGAATGATGGAGATGATGGAGAAGGATGGAGATGATGGAGAAGGATGGAGATGATGGAGAAGGATGGAGATGATGGAGAAGGATGGAGATGATGGAGATGATGAAGGATGGAGATGATGAAGGATGGAGATGATGGAGAAGGATGGAGATGATGGAGAAGGATGGAGATGATGGAGATGATGAAGGATGGAGATGATGAAGGATGGAGATGATGAAGGATGGAGATGATGAAGGATGGAGATGATGAAGGATGGAGATGATGAAGGATGGAGATGATGAAGGATGGAGATGATGGAGGGTGATGGAGAATGGTGGAGATGATGGAGGATGATGGAGATGATGGAGAATGATGGAGAAGGAGGATGGCAGGTTCCAGCAGACAAGGGTGTTGAGGCAGGGGAAGGTCGACATAACCAAAGTCTAAGTCAGGTCAGTGAGAGATATTGAGGAAACATCTGTTTGGTTAAAGCTGCTGCTGAGACCTTCAGGACATCAAGTTCTCCAGTGGGGCCCTCAACCATTTTCAAGACCACCTGGTTACAGACTTAGGTAGCACAAACAAGGCCCCTCCCCAGCTTCTGAGACAACTTCCCATTGCCCTAGCAAAACACTCCAGGCTGGGGATTCATAAGAGGTTCGTTTGGGCCCGGAGGTTGTGAGAGTCCAAGAGAATGATGTTGGCATCTGGCCGTCTTTTGAAGGTCCCATGGAGGAAGAGATCATATATTAAAAGAGCGGTGTGGGGGAGCAAGCTCACTTTAGGACCTGTTTTAGGGATAACTGACTCTGTGATGTAACTCCATCTTAAAGATCCTGCATCTCTCAGTCCTACCCCACGGGAGACCAAGCCTCAGTGTGGGGGCTGGCAAGAACAAACAACAAAATGTAGCCACTTCCTTGTGGGTCAGCTGTTGGGAGGAATTGACCTGCTTGGTCTTGGGTGGAGGAGAGGGGACCAGAAGGGAAAATTCCTCACTTCTGCTGTTCCCTCCTCTTCCAGTGTACTGTTGCTGCTGTCTGGCCAACGTCTCGCTGCCTGGCATTGGGGGCACCGTCCCTGAGTCGAAGCCTTTCTTCTACGTGAGCGTGGCTGACATCGAGAGCCTGGAAGTTGAGTTGTCCTACGTAGCCTGTGAGTATGGGGCCGTCCCCTCCTCTTCCTGTGTCCAGACCCTTCTCAGAAACAGGCTCTTGGACTCTGGGTGCTACAGTAGGGTTGAGGTGGCTTTCTTTTTGGGTTCCTCATTAACCCTGGGCTCCACAGGCACCACAGAGAAGATATTTGAGGAGAAGCGGGAGCTGTATGACGTCTACGTGGATAACCAGAACGTAAAGACACACCACGACCACCTGCAGCCCCTGTTGAAGATCAACAGCGCAGACAGGGAGAAATACCGTCGGCTCAACGAGCAGAGGTGAGACAGCTGGTTCTCCGTATCCCCGCCATGTGTGTTAGTGAGTGCAGCCCAGGCCGGCGCTGTGCTACAAGTACCAGACACTCAGGAGCACCACCCTGTTCAGGATGGCCCTGTGAAATCTGTGAAGAAGCCTACTCTGTCATTCCCTTTCCTTGGATGTTCCTCCCGGTGGGGGGTGGGGAGTCGGGCTGGATATCAAGGGAAGGTCTGTGCCTTAGAGGCTGACGTTCCTGTGTACTGTCCTCACGTAGGGTAGCAGACACAGGTGGGCGGTTTATCATGGGCTTGAGAACCCTGTGAAGGAACAGTTACAACACTAGCTTTCAGAGACACCCCCAAAAGACCTCGTTGAGATTTGCCCATATATGTTTGGAGTAGCTGTTTATTGAGCATCTACACGGCATGGGTCCATTAGGAAACTTGTGTGTGCACACTGTCCCATGTAACACTCAACTCTTTGTTTATCCTAGGAGAGAAAAGGTTAGCATACAATCCCCACCAGAGGATAACCAGGCGAGGCAGTCACTTGACTAAGGCGGGGGGTACCACTGGCAAAACGGGCCATAGATCCTGGGTTTGAGTCCACACTTTGTTCCTTCTTTTCCCAGTCTCTGGCCTGGCACCAACTCTGCCTGTCGCTGCTTCCTGAGAGATGGACATTGTTGGTGCTCGGTCGCTGCCAATCATGTGTCTGATAGTGTTCTCCCTTCTAACAGGCAGATGCTGTTGTACTCCCAGGAAGTTGAGGGTGACTACAACCCTTGTGAAGAAGACCTCTTTGTTCTGTGAGTTGGCCTGAGCAGCAGCGGGGCTCTGGGAATCCTTTCAGAACTGACCTCTGTGGATAGACAACTTGCATCCCTCCCATGCAACCCGCTGCGATTTAGGATGTCCTTTATTATTCTTAGGGTTCTTAGGGCTTGGTCCTTAGAGGTAGCCCAAGTCCTGCAAACCCATCAGGGTGAACCCAGGGCTTACTAAAGAGACAGGGACAGGTCCTAGAGAAAACGGATGCCCCGAGCACGAATCTTGTTGGACATTTGCATCCTCGATGTCACACAGCTGTCTCTCTCTCCGCCCTCTCCTTCATCGACGCCTCAGGAAAGACCAGTTCCTTGTGCCGAGTATTATAAGAGCATCTGGAAATTTAATCTCTCTTCCCCAGATCTGGTAGCCACGGAAAGGGCTGGCTCCTTCCAACACCCATTGCATTCAAGTAGCCACAGGAAGTCCTGTTTCAGAATTGGAGCCGACTTGTAACTGCGAAGCAGAAACAAATCTCCCGGAGAGTCCCTCGCTTTGATGAGGGCATCTCCACAGAGGCTTATCTTGTTTTTGAGTCTGCTTTCTAATGCACACACACCGTGTGTGCAGGCAGACACAGTCTGGTCCTGGTGTGACATGGAACACACCATTTTTGCTGTGTCTGTGGAAGCCCCCGAAACGTCTAAACAGCATGGCTGAATTGATGCCTTTCTAAACACAGCTCATTGACCCATCCGGCATGGCTGTAAAGCTGTGACTTTGGAATCCCGTTTTAATGTATAAGCTTCCTCCAGACGCCACTCCCCAGAGAGAGCGAACACCCTGTGAGTTGTGTTGTTCTCAGTGAGTGCAGCTTGCCCCCCCCCCGCTGGCTCCAGAACTGCCTTATGCCTGCTCCAGCTTCTCTGAGCTCTCCCTCTCTGTGACCTAGGGCTATAAGGCCAGTGCAGAGAGCCCTGTGCTCCCCTGCAAGGCTTGTTGGGTATCAACTGCAGTGGGTTCAGTCAGGGCTTTGACCAATGAGCCTTTCAGTCTTTGCCTTGAAATCTGGTCTCAGACCACTAGGTTCTGTGTTTTCACCCTCTTCCCTGATGACTACGCAGAGGGGGAGAAGGTGTCTGTGGAGTCTCTCTGGGAGGCTGTGTTGACAACAAGAAAATAGTAGTCAAGCCATCAGCCATACAGACTTCTCTATCATGCAGTGATTCTTGCCCCTACAGTTTCCTTGCTGACATCATTTATACTCTGGTCACTGTTTAACTTTTACTCCCTTTAAAAATTGTTAGATTTAGTTTGGAAGGCTTGCTTTAAAAATTGTTAGACGTAGTTTGGAAAGTGTGCGTAGTTTGGGGTTCTGCATGTTTGGGTTATCTGGTCGACCTTTTTGCCTTGTCTTCTCTCCCTTTCCTGTCTTGGCAATGCAGGTTTTTCCTAGAGCAAAACAACCGGATTTTTCAGACTCTATTGGAGGTATCTGCCAGTCAAGACAAAACTTTAACAGCAGAGCATGCCCGAGGCATGGGCCTGGACCCCCAGGGAGACAGGAGCTTCCTCATGGACCTACTGGAGGCCTACGGCATCGATGTCATGCTGGTCATTGATAACCCCTGTTGTCCATAGGAATAGTAGCAGGTCTGCTGACTCACCAGGGTTGACAGGAGCCTGGAGTGTACCCCAGGCCCTCAGCAGCTTCAGTTTTAACTGAAGTTGACACAAAGGACTGTTTATATCTCCAACATGTGTAATATTTGCCATTTCCTTTCTCTCCTTAGCCCCGGGGCTAAGGTGAGGCCACCTGGTTTTGTAGCCTTTGGGTTGTACATGGGAATCTACTGTCTTCCACTGCTGCTGCTCTGGGTGTAGTCTGAGGAGATCTGTCAGTCACAGTGAGTCAAACTCTGGGGTGAGCTGTGGGGAAAATCTGTGCATCTTAGTCCTTTGTTGCATACAAGAAGATAACCATGTGCCCTAGTGTGGCCTTAGACGTTCATCTGCCTAAACCAGAAGCTAATCAGATGACCTCCAGTGGCACCAAGTTCTAGGGTCAGGTTAGGATGACCCATTTGTCATAGGACTAGTCTGCATCTTCTAGATTGACTGGTGTAGGGACCATAGAGAAGGAAAACAGTGTTTCTGACAGAATAGCAGGGAAAGGTGGAAAACTAGAACGAACCCCGGAAATCCTTCCTACAGTAAGGGAATGGTAGAGACGCAATATAACACACCCCACGCCCCCTTCCCGCATCCCAATTCTCAACCCATTTCAAGGGAATTGGGAACTTAGAACTTACAAGCAAATTCGTTTGACATTTGTCTCTTTTGAGGGATAAATATCTTCTTGGAATAACAGGTTCAAACAGGCAAGGGAGGAAACCTCAAGTTTCTCTGATCGTTTGCAGTCCTGAAGCAGATACCTCTAGTGGATTCTGAAATGTAGCCAGGGCCCAAGCTGGTTGACTCAGAGGTTGGGATGTGGTGTGACCAGCTCTCTTAACCAGTTTGAAGCTCCTTAGACTTCTCTTTAGCAGAGACAACATCCCTTAGGCTAAGCAATTGGATCCATAGATCTAACAGATTTGACAGGGAAAATTTAACAGTGCCTCCCCTGCCAAGAGAATAGCTGGAAACCTAGACTAACAACCACACCCACTCCCTTTGGTCTAGCTCACCCTGTTCTTTGGGGCTGGGTCGCTTGTGACTGCTAAGTTACTAGATGGCATTAGGTGAGAGGTAGTTGTTAGCCGTACTCAGAAAGCCAGCTCTAATGCTAGTCTCCTTAAAGATTTTGATTGAGATTTTGCATCTTTTCCTGGGCTCTTCCTGCCTTTGTTTTATGTGACTAGCTAGCTAGCCATCAGGCATCCACGTCTGTGGCCAGAGAGCAGCCAAGCTGATGTCTGCAGCAGAGAGGACTTCACACGGAGGGGCTGTGACTCTAATCTCCCTCAGTTCTAGGTTCTTGGGGGCTCGCTGCTTAAGTATTTTCACTGTAGTTCCCTGATTTTTTTTTTTTAATCAAGAGTGATGAGATTTGCGTGTGTGGAAATGCAAATACACTGAGTCAGGGTAATATCTTTTCTGTAAATATACATAAATAAGTTTAGGCACTGACATAAACTTATAATACATTTTTCTCCTCTGCCACGTGGGTTTAGCCATCGTTCCAGTAACGTGTTTACAGAAAGCACAGCTGTGCTCAGTGGCTGGCGTTTCACCTGCTTCTTCCTTATGGCTCCCTTCTCCTGTTGGCCCAGGGCTGACTGAGCAGGCGCCATCTGATGCTGGTGAAGCAGCACTTCTTCTGGTGACCTAAGAGCTCACTGTTGGGCGTAGATAGATAGTCAGAGATAGGAAGGGCCCATTTCGGAGAACCTCCCCGGAGCCTTCTGCTGGCCAACACTGTTTCCTGTGCTGTAGTAGCTGCGAGCTGAGAAGTCCCGATGTGAAAACAGCAGCTGTTTTCCTGGGGTCCCTGAGTGCCCCTCCCACCCATGCAGAGGGCCAGTGTATGGGTGCCGCAGAGGGACAACCACCCTGAGACATGTCTTAGGTCAACAGGTTCTGGGCTTAGCTGGCCCCAGAGCAGAACTTCTTGTTCAGCATCCCTTCAATCCTTTCCTACCTTGCTGCTTCCTCCTGGGGTCGGAACCTGGCACAGGCCTCTCTCTGTGTGGCCCAAAGGCATGCATGCTAGCACCTCCACGGATCAGCTTCAAAGGAGTGTGTCTCAGACGTGAAGCCCTGCCTGTACCACCGAGAGGTCTCTCTTCACACCAGACTGCTCCCCCAGTGGCAGCAAACAGATGCAAGCCCGCCTCACAGGCTGCAACTCCCTATAAAGGGAAGTAGTTTGTGTAGAACTGTAAAGGAAGTCCCTTTGCCATGAGGGCAGAAGCTAGGAGCCAGGGATTTGCTTTTTTTTTTTTTTTTTTTTTGCCATTCTTGAAATACTTTCTGAAGAACCATCTGGTTTGATTTGGAAGAAGTTAGTTGACATCCTTCAGAGCTCTCTAGGTCTGACCGTCAGCCGAGGCGGGCATTTTTGTTATCACTGGCCGCTAGGGAACAGGTTAAAAATTCAGACTTGGGTGCTGCCACTGTGCTGGTGACCCTCATCAGATCCTGAGCTAGCAGAGACCTCTGGGGAGCACTAAACCCCCATCCGTACCATGCTGGGAACCATGTGCCATCCTGGAAGCACTTGCTGATTTCCATGGCTGGCTACCCAGGGATTTTTAAGTTAGAAGAAATTACAAATGGCAGCAATCCTCAGGAGCCTGAAATTGGGGTTCTGGATTTGTGGACATCCATATTAAGTATAAGATACTAAGTATAACAAAGTCCTGCTTAAAGTGGATGGTGTCAATTTTGTTAGCAGATGGTAGGTAATATTTAACCAGCTATTGATTGGCTCAGGACTTTCTCCAGAAGGAGTAAAAAAAAAAAATAGAGCTTATCTCCTACCGGTCTTCAAAGGAGGGAAGGCCACGTCATTGCTTGGTATTAGCTTTGGCTTTAACTGTGAGGCCTTCCCTCTGCTGGGCGCAGATCCAGGCCAGTGTCAGTGTCCTACCTGGGGACCATATGGTCCCCCTAGTTAGGAGTAAAATGTAACAGGAGGCATTTACCTCCCCCCCACACCTCCCACCCTCCCTGGCTGTGGGAAAGGAGCTGTTTCCATTGCTGTGACAGAATTGGACAGGAACTTGAAACTGGAACTCACCTTGCTGGATATCATAGGAAACCAGGATAAGTGAGGGCGAACTCAGACGGTAGTGCCAAATGCTTCATGGGAAGGGTCACACGCATAATTGTCTAACATTTTGACCAGAAGATAGAGGTAGGTTAAATCATAGCATATTGCTGTGTTCCTTAATGGTGGCAAGGGGGATGAACTCAGCTTTCCACTGGGGCTTTCTGGAGACTTTTAAAGGGTGGTAGTAAATTAGCCTTCTGGTGGCAAACACTAGCTAGCCTCCTGGAGACTCAGGAACCGTCTTCTCCCTTAGACTGCACAAGCGAAGAGTGGACTGAGGTGCGCTCTCCAAGTTCAGTGCTTAAGAAGGGTTACGGGGTGTGGATGAATAGAACTGTAGGATAGCCGTGCGGTGGTGGCGCACGCCTTTAACCCCAGCACTCGGGAGGCAGAGGCAGGCGGATCTATGTGAGTTCGAGACCAGCCTGATCTACAAGAGCTAGTTAGTTCCAGGACAGCCTCCAGAGCCACAGAGAAACCCTGTGTCGAAAAAACAACAAAACAAAACAAGAACTGCAGGATAATGCCGAGTTTCACAGTGAACTTGCCTTTTGATGAGAAGAGCTTGAAAACTGACAAGAATGTCTGTAGGAAGACCAGCAGGCCCTCGAGGGCTGCTATCTCCCCACTGGGTTTCCAGGCTATGACTCTGAGAGCTGTCCACTGCTCCCATTTCTCCCTTATAGCTGTTCCAGCCCATGGCGAGGATCCTGTGAGTCTGTGGGCTTACCTCCACGGTCCGGTCTCATCTCATGAAAACCATTTTCTGATTCAGGTAGGGGAAGGGGAGGATCTGAAGGTTCCTTTATACCCAAGTCGTGGGTTTTGACTGTTCCACTTCACTGCTAATATACCTCTGTTCCCAGGAGCTACTGGAGTACTGGTTGTTGTAGGGAAAAGACTGTGAATCAAGGTAACGTTTTTTCCTATGAGAAACGGAAGTCTATTTTTTATAGCCGTGTAACTGAGTGGTGAATTGAGTACTACAGTGTTGAAACGGAAAGGGATTGCAAAGTTATAATCTAGGAAGAAATGGGCAGCTTTATAATTTGATGGCAGCTGAGGCCCTTAGAAGTGTCGTTGACCATGACAGTGTATTGAAGTATGAGCACAGACTGTGATGTATTTTTCCAGCAGCTCTAGTTGACCTGGGAAAGAGGAGATAGCCATCAGCCTTGGGTGAAGCTTCAGGACAGAAGGGAGTAAATGCTGTCTTCCAGCGACCGCTCCCTCTTGGCCAAGGGGGAAGGTGGGAATGGGGGGGGGTAGTTTTCTAACTGGCACTTTAATTCACTGTAGCACCTGGAAGTTGGGTGATGTTGTAAATATAGAAAAGGAATAGGAATTTTTCTGGTGCTATATAGGGAATGAAGTTGAGATAAATAAAACTCTGCTTTCATCTTCGTAGAACTTAGTCTAGGATTTCAACATGGCTCTGGCTCTTAGAACCATGTTGATTCAAATTCTGAAATGTGACAGCAGAGGATTTTTTTTTTTTTAGTTTGCAGCAGGTGCCTGCTCTCTCAGTCTAATGGTGAGTTTACTTGCTTCCTAACCCTACGGGGGCAGAACAGGGTTTTATAAATTGTGCATAGATGGAGCTTCAAAGTGAAAAGCCCATACAGAGCAAATGCATTTGATTGACATTGTATCTGGGTAAATTAAGTAAAGACATATAAAAAGTTAGAAAAATGAACTTTGAGTTTGCTATATCCACATCAGCCATCAGAAATTGGGGATTCTGGGCTTCTGAACTGCCAGCACTAGGTGGCTTCTGGGATTCCGGGTGGAGGTAAAAACAAAACAAAACAACTTCCTTTAATTGTCCAAAACTTGCTGGCTAAGTTTTTATGTAAATCTGGAATGTAATCCTTTCCTGAAAAAGAAACGGTTGTAACCAAGGAAATCTGTTTTCCTAGTTGTTTTTTTTTTCTTTTTAAAACCTAAGTGTCCCTGTTGCCTTAAATGTAAAAAACGTATTTTGATTAACAACCCCAGCCTAAGAGTTATAGCAATAAGAGAACCCGAATCTATTTTTGTTTCAAGCCTTTACCTCATATGACAAAGTCAGAAGGATAATTGGTAAGTCTTGCTCTGGGTACTACTGCAGACCGGTGTATCCTCTCTCTGTGTCTTCAACTGTGTATTATTTACAGATCTGAAGAAAGCTGGGCTTAACCCTGAGGCTAAGTGTAAATGTTTCTTGAGTTGATTCTTTCCGTGGTACAAGTAACACCTGTGTATATCATATCTGTATATATCTGAACCAAGTTATGTGCAGAGGTTGATAATAACTATATTTACAAAGAAAAACCCCAATTTTTACAATTAAAGTTCACATTTTAACATGAGCCCGTGTGCTGTGATCTTTCACCAAGGACTTTTTGGTAGGAAGGAATGATGACAGCCCGGCCTGTGAGAAGAGCCCAGGGGCTGAATGCTGCTTTTATTTACGGGGCTATGAGAGACTGTGGATTGGAAAACTAAAGTCAAAGCAGCAGGACGGTGTACCCTCAACCCCCAGAGGAAGCTTCTAGACACTAGAGAAGCGGTTTTGTTTCAGAAGTCTCTTATCAGAGTTTTATGTGGCATTATACATTGGTAACGTATGCAACTGTTCACCCTCTAAAAATTTCAGTTTTACCTTTGGGTGTTATCTTAAACCAGTATAGAGTGAGTTTGTAACCCTGGTCACAAAGCTAGACTTCTGTTTTCTAAGTGGGATGGCCGTGTCTAATAGCACGTTTTATAAGAACTAATGTTCATATAATTATCCTTATAATGTTTTAAAAATGTCAGTTGCATGTGTAAAGGCCTAGAGGCGACCTCCATCATGCCCTTTGTAGAGCTGAGCATTTTATACCTGTTGTGAAATGTGTGCATTTTATAGATGTCCAAAGAACACAACAGTAGACAATGAAACCCAAGTCCTTAAAGGAAACTAGGGAGTAAAATTCTGCCCCATGTTCCCCGAAAAGGATCTCTGTGTGTAACGGCCTTGGCTGCCCTGGAACTCAATGGTAGACCGGACTGGCCTCGAACTCAAGAGATTTGCCTTCCTGTCACCTGAGTGCTGGGATTAAAGCTGTGCGCCACCGTGCCCGTCACGTGAGTAAAATTCTTAATGTGGGTCCAATATCCTTTCCTAACCACATGGCAATTACGGGTAGAACTGCAGCTACATACAGCATTTAAGAACAAATACTGGATTCTATACTGGCACAGATTCTTTTATTTCTTTACAACACAGCAGCCCCTTTCCCTCCACAACTGGCACAGAGTAAATGACTTATGCTCATCTTCAGACTCGTCTGTTCTTAAAGCAGAACACTTACCACCACCATAAGCATACAGAAAGAAATAGGCAAACCCTATTTTTTGTGGTCTTCAATTATGGGCTATTTTGCAGGTTCTGTGTACTCCATTCATGCACCGATTTTACTCCAGTGGGACATGCGGGTGGGTATATTTGAATTTTTTTCTTCCTGTAGCGCCTGCTGCTAAGGGTGCCACTTTTCCTTTCACAGTGACAAACCAGTTTCACATGGTGCAGGCCTCCTAGAGTTCAAAGACTTCTGGGCATGAGCAAAGGGAATGCTCGTGCTAGTATTAAAAGAAAAAGGCACCGGGCCTGGAGAGAACCTTCGGAGGTTAGGACCAGATTCAATTCCCAGCACCCACACGGGAGCTAACAACTGTAGCTTAAGATCTCACCCTCACACAGATAAACATGCAGGCAAAACACCAATGCACATAAAAAGAATGGACAAGATCTCCTGAGCAAATTGGCAGCATGGGGGGAGGGGAGACGGAGTTAGGAGAAGAGGAGGGGAGAGGAGGACATGAGGGAACAGGAAGGTTGAGTCAGAGGAAGAATAGAGGAGAGCAAGAAAAACCATAATAGAGGAGCCATTACAGGTTTAAAAGAGAAATCTGGCACTAGGGAAATGTCCAGAGATCTACAAGGATGACCCCAACTAACAATCTAAACAATAGTGGAGAGACTACCTTAAAAGCCCTTTCCCGATACTGAGACTGACGACTACCTTATATGCCATCCTAGAGCCTTCATCCAGCAGCTGATGGAAGCGGAGGCAGACACCCACAGCTAAACACTGGGCAGAACTCCTGGAATCCAGTTGCAGAGAGGGAGGAGTGATGAGAAAGGGGGTCAAGACCAGGCTGGAGAAACCCACAGAAACAGCTGACCTGAACAAGGTGAAACCTAGGGTCCCCAGACTGATAGCTGAGAAACCAGCACAGGACTGTTACAGACCCTCTAAATGTGGATGTCAGTTAGGAGGCCTGGAAATCTATGGGTCCTCTGGTAGTGAATCAGTATTTATCCCTAGTATATGAATGGACTTTGGGAGCCCATTCTACATAGAAGGATACTCTCTCAACCTAGACACATGGGGGAGAGCCTAGGTCTGCTCCAAATGATGTGACAGACTTTGAAGATCCCTATGGAAGGCCTCACCCTCCCTGGGGAGCAGTAAGAGGATGGGATAGGGAGTTGGTGGGGGACAGGGGAGGAGGGGAGGGAGAGGGAACTGGGATTCACATGCAAAACAAGTTTGTTTCTAATTTAAAGAAAAGAAAAAAGAATGTGAAAAGTAGGAACTCCTTATAGGAAGTCAAGTGTTTTCAGTTCTCAGCTTGCAACAGACTAGAAGATCTAATCAGATTGTTTGTTAAAAGATCGTTATTAATTTTAATCTAATCAGATTGTTAGTTAAAAGATCATTATTAATTTTAATGCAGTAGTGTGCTTTTTCCCACTAATTTCAAAAAATTCAAAATGATGTTACAATTCTTAAAACGATGTTATGCCCATCTACTTTCTGGGCTCCTAATAAAAAATGAAAAGGAACATAACTGATCCTGGATATCCATGTCTCACCAGAAATAATGTTTATATACTGGATAAATGAACAAGAACATTCTAATAACATAATTTTAATTACTGTTTCAAATAACTATTTCTAATAATACATAATGATAATTGTTAAAACAGTTGTTTTATAATGAGTTCACACTTAAGTTATTTAGATTTATATATATATATATATATGTATTTTTTTTTTTGCTGAGGAAAAGCAATTGATAAGAAATGCCAAGCATAAAAATAAACTATGATAAGAATCCCTTTGCTGACAATGGTAGAGAGATGTATCCAAGGGAGAAAAGAAAAGCATAATTTAATAATGAGTTTATTTATATAAATAAATGAGAGGTACATTTAAGTTACACTGGATATGTTTAAAAGAATGAGGAAACACTTTTTATTTTTAAACAACAGTATTTACACAGCACTAGACAAGTGTTTAACTTCCCATGGGAAATGATAGATGTCACAACATGAATACGTGATTTTTAAAAAATATATACAATACACTTGGGAAAACCAGAAGTTTATGAAATCCTTTTGAAATACATTCTCCAGGTCTGGTTGATTCACCTGGGAAGCAGCCTTTTACAATGAAGATCCCTGCCAGGTTGAGTTACACGTTGGGGGGGTGGGCCCAGGTCAGTTAGTTAAGCATGGGCCTCAGTAGAACACATGGAAACTAACAACGAAGAAGCCCTGGTTGGTTTTTTAAATAGCATCTTATAATGTTAGCCATGCTGAAAAGGGAACAAAGCTCACGTCTGCTTTCCAGGTTGAGATCAACCAAGGTGGAGTCCACGGAGGTTCGCACCCACGAGAGCCCAGAAGGCAGCTGCTTCCCTTGGATGCCTAGGACGGCCAAAAACTGGGACCGTAAGTAGCTCAGTGTACACATCCACTCTCCACTGTGGGGCGATCGCAAAATCCCAGCCGTTTCCAACTCACCGAGAGCAAGGACTTCCTTGACCGGCCTGAGAGAACCTGTGTGTGTGTGTGTGTGTGTGTGTGTGTGCGTGTGCGTGTGCGTGTGCGTGTGCGTGTGTGTGTAGGGGGGGGTCACAACACGAGGAAAGCCCGGGCTAACAGAACGCTGATCTCCAGCCGGGGGACAGGGTGTATGTGCCCGCAGGCACAGGAGGAGGGGGCAGGAGTACTTGCCGAGGAAATTCCCTCGGGGTCTGGCGACAACACTGGAGCCAGAGGAAGCACGCCGTCGCTTGTGGTCCCACTGGTGGCTGCAGGCGCAGCCTGGGAGCGCCGCGCTGCGGCCGGCTCACTGCGCCGAGCTCTGCAGCATCTGCTCTCTCTTCCGTGGGTCACAGAAGAAGCGCAGTTTCCTGGGAAGCAGTTTCACCTGCACAGGCATGGCTTCGTACTCCTCGCTGTCGATGCTGAAGGAGCCCCGAGTCCCCTGGAGAGAGGAGGGTTCTGAGCGCACCTCTGCGACTCCCTGTGGCTAAGGGTGCAATCTAACAAAACCCCCCAGTGCTGACTGGTCCTGGAAATAACTCCAGTCTGTCCAGTCCACGAAAAGGGACTTTTCTTTTTTGAAGGATCTTGAATAAGGTTGAAATTTTAAAGTATTTATCAAAAGTCCAGAGCCCTTCCACATTACAGATGTATGAAATTGTCAAAGAACTGACATGATAAATAACCAAGGATATCCATTAAGAAAATAATTGAACATGTAACCAAGGGCCAGAGACTATGATCCTTCTATGCGAAAGCAAAAAAGAGCTAATTCTCCTGTGAGGGACGACGTGTCCACTCGTTTTCATTCCCCTAAGACTTGCTGGGCTTTTGTGTCAACACTGGTGTCATCACAGACTCTTTGGAGCCCTGCTACAACTCAGTTAATTCGGCATTTGCTCCATGAAACTACGGTGGCAGCACATGTGGACACCTTCCATTTGCCTACAGTTTCAATGCAGTACAGCAGCAGCATGGCCAGAGCTCTTCAGAGATCCGGAGTAGCGGAAATCAAATGACCTTCAATCCATGCATCTCCACGTTTTATTCCTATCTACAAAGGTGGTTATTCTAAGCACGGCACACGGCAGCACACTTGATAGGAAAAAGTAAAATCCACTTCCTACCAGCTAGGCAACTACGGGTCACTAGAGAGAGGGAGAAGCTTGGCTCAGAAACTCCAAGTCCTCAGAGGCCTGCTCTAAATCTGTAACTTAGAAGCTTCTGTCTTTCTCCTTTATTTCAGAGTCTGCCAAACAGAAGGTGCTTAAGTGGCAGCCAGGAAATATGGACTGAGGAGGAAGAAGATGGAAGGACAGACAGACAACCCAAAACAGCAGTTGGGCATCCTTACCTCAGGAAGCAGCAGAGTGCAGTGGCTGGCCTGGAGACACTCGGTACCAGCTGCTCGTAGGCCAGGGTCTCTCGTCTTCTTACTTCTATTAGTGAAAGAAAAATCAAGGTGAGAATCTTCGCTGGCAACTGCATCAAACTGCAGGGAAGCCCTGTTCTCCCCTTATGAGGGCAAGGGAGAGACTGAACACCAGGGCTCAGTGAACTAGTGTTACGCTATGTTCTAGAGTGAGTAGACTGACTGACTTTCCTGCTGTAGAGAACTTCATAAACCTGAGGCTAAGTTTCTCTCTGTTCTCCATTTTTGAATAGTTCTATATCTATTAAGCCATTAATCTCAAATTTAAAAATTAGGATGTAATTAAATCCTTTGAGAAAAGCATTAGACTTATGCGATCATTTCATTAAGGACAAAGTAGTTTTATTCTAGTTTAGGGTAAATAATTCTTTAATCTCTGTAAACAGTCTTATATATTTTTTCTGAGAAAACTCCATATGTAACAGCCTACTTAGCACATTTACCTTACTAAATGGCTGTGGAGTAAAGCAATAAGGCACAAACATACTTGACCTCAATGCATATATGCCCCATTTGGCCAGTTATGATAAATACAAAAAGAGCGAAAAGGAGGCAGGAGTTTGGGGCCAGCCCTAGTTACTTGAGGAGTAAAAGGCAAGCTTGGGCTGTAAGAGACCCTGTCACACACACACACAGAAAAGTCAAGTCTATCATCTATGGTTATTTGGAAACAGCAATTCTTTCATGTATGGAATTATCAGAGTTTTAAATAGCTTCACCGTGTTCCATTAAGATATTCACATGAATTACACAATTTACCAAAAGGAAACTTTCTAAGAATGCTAAATACAATGCCATCTAACTTCAGAGGTACAGTGGGGTTTTTTGTTTGGATGTCAATTTCGTAAAGGAGATTTGAATATGGCTGCTGCCAGTAGCCAGAATTACGTAAGATGCTGTGTGATTTGTGCACATGGTAGAAGTGACAGCCCTTTCCTTCTTCCCTTTACTATACGGCTATAGTATACTATACTATAATCAGAGGCTACAAGGAGCCAGTCAGTATCTGAAGACTCTGTAACAAAGGCGAGAACCAGCAGACTAATGAAAGACATTCTGCTGCCTGCGCAGGAACAGATAATGAGGTAGCCATGGAGACACAGCCGCAAGAGCAGCAATGTCCCGTCCCTCCATGGGCACGAGGGGGAGCACCAGGGCAATGCAAAGGCAGCTGAGCAGACTCCTGGTTGGCATGGGAACACACGGTTCCTTAGATACTTGGAAGATGTCTGGAGGGTTTACAGAACTCTCAGCCAATGAAGTTCCAGCCGAGGCAGGACTTGACAAATGAGGCAGGACTCTGAAGAGTCTATTGGATTAGAAAGGGGAAACCTGGGAAATGCCCAGTGTCCTTTCAAGTCTGTCCTTGATGTTCTGGGGACAGGAAGACAAGGTGGGTGGCTTGTACATTGAAAGATACCAAAGTGCTGCTAAATGTCAAAAGCCTCCTTGAGACTGACAGGCTGTCCTGAGACAGAAGGCAGGATAATATCCTTCTGTTTTACAGATGGGAAAGGATTCAGACAAGTCAATGGCCTTAGAGCTCCAAAGTGAGGAGCCAGTCACGTGCTTGGACTAAAACTAGAGTCCGTAGCTAGGCCTGGAACCCTGAATTCTTTCAGTTGAAAAGCAGACTGTAACATCTTCCAAAATGTGCAGAGGAGGCAAAAGTACACAAGCAGCTCCGTTATAAAAAAGAAGAGCTCGCAGGCAGGCACACAGGCCTTTGCCAGCTCTCCATCTTAAGTAGACAGTCCACTCCAAACAGAAAGGTTTGATAGCACAAGTTATTTCATGGAGCTCCATTTCCCACAGGCCAGGCAGGCACTTACCCTATAGTTATGAAATCTCCTTTGCTGACAGTATCAGGTTCAATGCAAATGTTCATAAAGTCTTCTTTGCCCTAGAAACATCATTAATGTCTTTCATTAATATGACTGTTAAGTCTTGGAAATTGGGCTAATGCAGCTGTCACCCACAGGGGCCTGTGTTCTTTAAAATGCTCTAGATGCAAACATGACAGGCAACCAGAGCAGAGAATTGCAACCTATTTGTTCCCCAATACTAGCTGTAAACTTTGTGCGTCTATCCATAGACAGCTCTGAACGACTGAGCTACAAGGAAGCGCTGTGGAAAGTCATGCTTCCTGTGCGCCCCTCAGTCAGTCACTAGTCATTAGCTACACCACAAGCCTAGGTTCGTGAAGCAAGCCCAACACTTCTGGAGGCGTTCTTGGAGGATTTCAAACCACGTAGGCCCAGGAGAAGACACACGGTCCTCTGAGAGCCGTTGACTGAGTTTCAAATGCACCACCAAAGTACAGCTGGGGCTCTCAAGTAGGAATTACAAACACAATGTTTTGACATAATACTCACATTTAGTTCAACTACCTACTGGGTGCCCACTTCACTGTAGGGAGTGCAGGGAGTAGACAGAACAATAAAACTGTATATTTCTGAAAACAGTAGAAAATGGGCACACTAGAAGTACATCAGGACACTGGTGGCAGTGACATCTTCAATATTTCTTTGGTTTGCCTGTGTGTGCCATATACTGTATGTGTTCACGACACCATGGAGGTCAGAAGAGGGTGTTGGATCCTCTGGGACTAGAACTAAATGGCTGTCAGTTGCTGTGTTGGTGCTGGGAACCAAACCTGGGTCTTCTGAAACAGGAGAAAGTGACTGCGAAGCCAGCCCTCCAGCCCCGGTGACTACATTTTAAAGAGAGGACGGATGAGAAGGTGACTCTGATCAGAGTCCAGAGGTGAGAGAGAAGAAATGTAATATATCCATCTAGGGTGGCAGTTTTCTAGTAGCAGGCATCCCTGGAGGGCTGGTTAAGATCTGGACCCTGTTTGTATCTGTTGGCTAAAAGTTAATGTTAAAGGGAGACTCAGACTCTGCTGTCGTTCCCAGGGTTCCTAGCTTAGGGGCTGATATGACGTTCAAGAACTTTGACTTCAAACAATAGCCAGAGAGTCTGCTGCTGCTCACCCAAAGACCATACTCTGAAACCTCCTATCTAGGAAGAAGACACCCATACAAAGGGAAGTAGCTAGCAGAAAGAAGCCTTCAGGTCGGGGCAACCCTGAAATGTACAGAGAACAGCAAAGAAACCCCCATGTCTGGAGAATGAGTGGCAGGGACGAGAGAGGCAGCTGCAGATGGGGGAGGGAGCATCTTGTTGGGTAGGGCTCTGTAGACCACTTTCAGGAATGTGTTTTTTAGGTTGAGTGAGATGGAGAGCCAGTGGAGGGTTCCAAGGAGGGTAATGTTACCGCTTTTGGTAATAGGGTCACTCTGCCCGCTGTGCTAAGAATTGAGATGGGTCTAACTGCAGAGACAGGCAGTGAGCCAGTAAAGAACATTACAGAGAAATGAGCAGAAGCAGCAAAGGTTCAGTAGATGCCAGGACAGTGAAAAGGGCCAATGATGGGACATGGCGTTGGAAGCTGGCAGGGGGGAGGAGGGAAACTATCCAGTCCCCACGTCTACTTGATGCAAAGGGAATGAAGGGAAAGAAATCAGGCATATTTAAACTTGCAGTGGGGCAGCACAGCCATGCTCCAGTTAGAATGGACACCAACATGTATTTTCTGTTAAGGGCCAGAGAGCTGTCAGAAGTCTCTATGCCACTAGATTCTGCTGCGTACTTAGTATGTACTTAGTAGTACTTAGTATGTAGAAACAGCCACGCGGTACTCAATGTATTAGTGTGTTTGCATTCCAATAGAATCCACAGAAACTGGAATTCTGTGTGATTCCAACTGTTTAAAATGTAACAACACCCTAGCTTGAAGGCAGCTGGCCAGGTGGGCCTATGGTTATCCTCTGTTGACTGCTGTCTTCAGCTTTGTCAGTTAGGTTGCTTGGCAATGGTGACTGCAAGTTAGTCTCCAGATTCTGAGACTACTACTTTTGTTCCAGTACTTAGGACATGTCTCTTTAAGAGTCAACACTCCAGATTTGACAGCAATTTTCACTTTTACCTGGCAGTTCTTGGTCCTGTGAGGTGACTGCAATCTCCTAGGACTGAGCCTGTTTCTTATGAGGAATTCTTTCTTTCTTCATCTTGGCAGGCTTCTCATTTACGTATATCAGTGAAAATGCAAATAAGCTCACAGGCATCCCTGGATCCCCGGCTCAGCCCTCCAGGCAGTTTTCTTTTACTTGCCCCTGGTAAGCCCCATCCCCACGCAGGAGGTTGGAGCAGACACAGGGCGCAGCTCATCTGCGTGCCTTCTCTCTGGGATCCCTGCCCTATGCTGTTTGTGTCTTTCCAGTGTTGGCCAACAGTTACTTCATAGATTTTGTTCAGCGTTTAAGGTACAAAGGTAAGGCCATTGCTTGTTCTGTATCTTGGCCAATAGTCTCATATCCATTCAAAAATCAACTCATATTGACAGATTCAATGAGAATCTTACTGTCTTATGGGACGATGAAAAGACACTTGATAGAATTTAATGCCTAAGACATTTAAAGTTAATAAAACTGTTGGCAAACCTAGCAAGTTTTCTTTATTAGAAACTTCCTTATCTAATAAAAGGCATCCAAAAAAATTATATCAAATTCAAGAATAAAGCAGTGGCTCCCATAAGCATTACTTCTGTCCAGCTGAAGTCCTCACAGAGAAGGGAGGAAAGACAGAGGGTTGTAAAGAATGTGTTTAAAAGAAAGAAACAAAACTGGCACTGTGTGCTGTTGATATAGCAAAATCTATAGCAAATCTAAAGGAACCCATAGGCAAACATAACAGGAATTTAATTAGGATGCTGATTCATCATCAACATGCGTGTGCGTGCACACACACAATCAATTACACGACCATTTCTTTAGTCAGCGAGAGAACGGAGTTTTAAGAGATATATTGATAATAGCATCAAAAGTAAGATGACCAGGAGTATATCCAGCAATAAGCAAATGCTATAGAGAAAACAATAAAACTTTGTTGGGAGATCTTGAAGACCTCAGTAAATGAAGAGATACATCACACTCACATGCCAGAAGGGTCAATACTGTAGAAATGCCATTTCTCCTCAGATTGATCTATATGTGCAATGAAACCTCATAAAACTTTTATGAGGAATCTGATAAACATTCTAAAATATTTGTAGAAATCGTGGGGTGGAAGAGCTTGCTGCAATTCCAGAGGAGCCCAGGTCTGTTCCGGCGCCCACACTGGGTGGTTCTCAGCCATGGCGCCAGGGAAGAGATGGGTGGCACTTCAATAAACTGGTCTGACTACTGGAATGAATAAACAAACTGGAGCCTTACCTCATCATTCACAATTATAGGTGACAGTTTTCCTTTTTTGAATAAAAATGGAACCAACCACCTCATAAAAATCATTTTATGTTAATTTTTCATTCAGCAATATATGTTGAGCATATTGCCACATTAGTAAATATAAAGATTATATATTACTTTAAATAAAAGAAAAATATTCATTTTATCAATCTATTTAATGCATGTTGCTGTTAAGGACTAAATATGCTTATTTAAGAGACATCGAATTTCTGACATTTTACACTCCTAAAGATGTTTTTATACTATGGAAATATCATTTTAATGATAAGTAAATATTTCAAGCTATTACGTGACAGCTACAATGTCTGAATAGTTTATTGTATTTGCTTTGCAAAGTGGTGAGGAAAAAAGGAAACATAATGAATGTGCTCCACTAGCAATAAGAAGTACGGTGTCACCCGCCTTTGTCATTAGCACAAAGATAAAAGCATCCGGCAGCTTGAGTGTGGCGCATCTAGAGCTGAAATCACATGCTCGCCGAGCTCAATGCATTCACAGGGATTCAGAGAACAGAAGGAGGGAAAAGAACACAAGCAAAATGCGGGGAATACATTGCTACCAAAGACTAAGAACACAGAAAATGTGTAATGGAAATTTTATCTTTTCAAAACTCTCTCTGAACAAAGCACTTTCCAGCCTCATCAACCCACGGTGGTTTCAGAGTTCTGTTTAAGGGAAGACTATGTACACTAGGAATTTACTGTTCACACCCACCAGCTAAACAACTACACTTGCCAGGACAAGGGATATGCACATGCATGGGTTCTAGACAGTCCATATACATTACCAAAACTAGTGTTACACCTTATAGCCTCATGAAGGCTAAGAGTTCTGTTCCCATTCACATCACCCACATGGCAATCCAAAAGTAACTTTCAGTCGGCATTGAACACTTGTTCATGTATCTATATGTATCTCTCTCTCTACACCCCACCACACACACACACACTGAACACTTGTTCATGTATCTCTCTCTCTACACCCCACCACACACACACACACTGAACACTTGTTCATGTATCTCTACACCTACACCCCACCCCACCACACACACACACACACACGTTTTGTTTGTTTGGTTTGGTTTTTCTTTGTGAAATAGTCCTGGCTATCCTGGGACTCACTCCATCGAGGCCACCAGGTTGGCCTCGAACTCACAGAGATTCACCTGCCTTTGCCTCCCGATTGCTGGGATTAAAGGTGAGTGCCACCACGCCCAGCTGAACACTTTTTCCTTAACTTTAGTCTAAAATGCAAACATTACATGGTGTGATCTGAGGATAATATAACTCATTTATGTAAGATTTTTAGGACAATGACTCTCACACAATAAACTAAGTAAATATGAGCTATTTTTCCTCAAATGTTTCCCTTTGTGCATTTTCTATTTTTGGTCCTTGGACCATTATATAGTATTGTCTCTGTTCATTTCTTGTTGATTTATTTGAGGAGTTTGTGATAAGGAAAGCTAATAAATGCTGGTCTGCCACATCCTAATATACTCCCTAATTGTCATTCAGAGGTTTTTAAATTAGTCGATGAATGCATCAATATAAAATCTGCCTTAGGTGTCATGCTTAGAAAAACTTGTTCTTTCTAAATTTATAGTGACAATCATTAATTAATTCAACTGGAATTCTTTCAGAAGGTAAAGAGAGCTGTGTTTGGAAATATTTTACAGGCAATGCAAATTATGTGTATAAGCAGAAAACAAAGCAACACTCCAAATTTGCTGTTGGGACTAACCTTCCCACTACCCTGAGGCTCCATACACCAGTTTAGTGATTGCCCAGGACAGCAGTGACCAGACTACTCTGGTTTTCATAAAAGCAGAATGCATTATAGTTGAGTATGACTTAACTGGCAATGTTGCTAACACAGGTAACTAAAGTCTTCTCCACTTTAGGGTCAGTATGGTTTTTCCAAAAATAGCAAATAGCAAACATCTAAGGCTTTGGGGCTACACAGTCTCTATCACAACTACTCCAACTCATTCACTCTACTGCAAGGTTCATATGAAAAACACGTATAAAGGAACACATTTGTGTTACAATATTGCTTTATACTGGATTCTGAAATGTGACTTTCACATGTGCCTCATGTACCACAAAATGTCACTTTTTTCCATCATTTAAAATTAGAAAATCAATTCTCTTATGGGCAACATACGATCAGCTGACAGGCCAGTTCGCTTTATTTCACTTCCTGTGTTTCCTTGTTTTAGTGCACTGGCTGAAGCAGCACTAGCCAGCAAAATTTTCTACATTAATGGAAATTTTCATGTCTGTACATCCAGTATGGTAGCTATAAGTTACATATGGCTATTGAGTATATGGAATATGGCTCCCATTACTAAGGAACTGTATTTTAAACCTTATTTTAATCCTATGTACTTTAAATTTAAATAGCCACATAAGGCTAATAGCTACTGCTTTGGACAGTGCAAATATCTGAAATCATATATGATAGCTTGTCTACACATGGCACACTGGCCTGTAATTCCACCATTCAGGAGAGTGAGCAGCAAGGTCACATTCTGACGCTAGCCTAGACTGTATAGCAAGACCCAGTCTCACCAGAAAAACCCCCATGTGTGTATAGCTATAGGTCTGTGTGTTTCTTCTGGGGAATCTGAGTCTATGTAGTTAATATAATCACACAGTCACAAAAATAATGCATGTTTACTCAAGTGAAAGTTCAACTCTTTTCTAGCTTTTTACTTGTAAAGCTTTTGTCCTGAATCCTCCAAAGGTCACCAGAACTTTAGCAAAATATTTGTCCAGAGACCCTTGAACTCATGTGCCCCAACACACTCAACTACCCTGTCTCAATGCTGCTGTCTCTCAAAGGCACACTATAGTCTCCTTTACTTGATCCTTTGATCCCCATGCTCACAGAGTAAACCGTAAAAATACTGAATTAGCGCAAGAAAGGCACCTGCCATTTTTCCCCAGACACCAAATTCTTCTTTTAAAACTGAGAGCACTTACCATCAAGTCAAGTTGGCTGTTTCGGGTTGTGATGGACAGCTCAATGGTGGACAGTTGTACATCTTTCCAGACCTGTGGGCTCACCTCTCGGGAAAAGGCTGTGGGAATCCATCAGACACGGGTCAGTGCTCTCTCTCTCTCTCTCTCTCTCTCTCTCTCTCTCTCTCTCTCTCTCTCTCTCTCTCTCTCTCTCTCTCCCTCTCTCTCTCTCTCTCTCTCCCTCTCCCTCCCCCTCCCTTCCCTCCCCCTTCCCCCCCCCTCTCTCTCTCTCACACACACACACACACACACACACACACACACGTGCGCTCGCCCCAAACCACTGAGCTGCTAATAACTGTACTTGGCTTCCTCAGCCCCAGCCCTCTGTCCAACTCTATACTTCCCTTCTTCTTTCCTATACACAAGGGTAAACACTGGTCCCCTATACCTAATGCATGCTCCCTGTAAGCAGGTACAGTAGCACAAATGTCAGTGGCAGAAATTGCTGTGCCCATTCGCAAGACATTGACGCCTACTCTGGCAACACCTGAAGTCTGAATTCAACTGGAATGGCTCTTGCTCTGCTTAAGTGTCTAGAACTGATTCTGGGTATCTGCTCCAGAGCGTTTTGAAGCTATGTAACCCACAGTCACCATGTTGCTCACCATCCTGTGGCTGTGCCCAGAATGAGGCAAGCCTTCGTAATATTCTCCTGTACAAAGAAGGACGGCAAGGGGTCTCTTCAGGCTCACAGGGAGGTCTTTCTGTAGGTCCCGTGTAAGAGATGGAGGCCTGATGGGTCTGAGGCCACTCCTGTTAATGCAGAAGAAAATAGTTTTCAGCATGTGCATATAATTCCTAACTCTGGGCTTTGCTCTGCAAAGATCAGAATTCTAACAAGCTAATTGTGTCTTCAATGGGCAGAGTTCTCTCTACTTTGGAATATGAAGCCTTCAAGCTTCCTTTTCCTCTTCAAACCTTGACTTGAAAACCATCAATACAGTGACCTATGGTCTCTATTATTTCCCCTAACATACAACAGAGAAAACCAAATTGAACTGACAGCTACTGCTCATACTTACTTATCCAAACAACAGAAATCAACATGAATGAGCAGAGTGGTCCCATTAACAAACTTACCTTTAGTTTATCAATGGCATACACAAACCTACATCTAACGCCTACTTCACTGCTGGTCCCATACTCCATGTGGAGGACAGAATGCTTTGGCTAAGACTCAATTCAAAAGCAGCCTGATGCCTCATCACTGCCTCAAAACCTATAATTCTCAAACTGGATATTTTTATACATTTTTATCTACTATTATTATTAGTAGTAGTATCAGCAGGGGGGAGAGCCTTAAATTGGGACTTAATATTTATTTGGGTGTGTGTGGGGGAGACATATTAGCAGAATATTGACAGAAAACACAGAGGAGGCTATTTGTGACATCAACAGCTCTCAGGCTCAGGGGCTATGTGACAGTACAAATACTCTTGACTTGTATATTTAAATATTCTGTGCCACTTTTACCTGCTTCGTTTTCAGAAGACCAGTTATTCCAAAGCATATCAGGTCCATCAAGAAGAAAGTCTAATTCCCTCCAATGTCACTTCCATCTGGCTCGAACAGCTATTTCCCTGTCTCAGTGAAAAGGGAAGGCCTTCCCCTGTGTAAGGATAACCACATCCTTCTGTGTATGGGTTTAACCAACTCTTCTGTCTTTCTTTTACACAAAATTCGTTCATATAAAAACTAATGCTCTAGTCTCCTCCTCTTCAAAGTTCAAAGTTTCTTGAAAAATCTCTCTCTGTCTCTGTCTGTCTGTCTGTCTCTCTGTGTCTCTGTCTCTGTCTCTCTCTCTCAGACAGGGTTTCTATGTGTAGTCCTGGCTGTCCTGGAACTCGCTCTGTAGACCAGGCTGGCCTTGAACTCACAGAGATCCGCCTGCCTCTGCCTCCCGAGTGCTGAGATTAAGGGCGTGTGCCACCACCCCTGGCTGTCTCCATTTCTTTTCCTCCCATTTGTTTTCTTAGCTTTCTTTATTATTACCTAATCCTTTTCTTTGAAGCTTGCCAAACCTTTGGCAGATACCAAGTTCAGAGGATAGTCACCTGTTCTTATTTAGACTCCTGCTGTTGCTTCTGAAAACGTGTGCTTCTTTTATTCTCATTTGAAATTCCTCTTCTATTGGCTGAGATGTTGGTCTCTCGGCTTTTCTCTTAGTACAGTCACTTCCCCCCTTTGTTTTCTAAACGTTTACAGTTCTTTGTGCTATGCCTGGCCATCTGTTTTTAATGGCACCTTTCCCAAACTCATACTTTCAAAAGCAGTCACAACCTTATGGCAATGGAAACGGATTTCTTTATCCTAGAACCTCTCTCCGAGTTCCCGACATACATATCTGTATTCCTATGTTCCACCGATATGCCACACTAATCACATCCGAAACTAAAATTTCATCTTCCTCCATAAACTCGGTCTTACCCTAATATCATCAACATTGGTAATAAACAAAAAACTAAGTTACGCCGGGTGTTGGTGGCGCACGCCTTTAATCCCAGCACTTGGGAGGCAAAGGCAGTCGGATCTCTGTGAGTTCGAGGCCAGCCTGGTCTACAGAGCTAGTTCCAGGACAGCCTCCAAAACAATACAGAGAAACCCTATATATTGAAAACAAAACAAAACAAAACAAACAAACAAAAAAAACTAAGTTACACAACTCTAGCCCCTCAAACTAGAAATCTTCAATCTAATATTCTTCCATCTTCTGGGAATTTTACTCCAGTAGCACTTGGATCCATCTGCCATTAGCAACCTCAGTCTACACCACAGCAGCTACTCTTTCCCTATCACTGGGTGACTTGGTCCACCTTCCGTCTGCTGTTTTCGCCTATAGCCCAACTGCATTGTGAGGACAAACAATTTTTCCACAATGCAGATGTGCATCTGAAACCTGCACATGCAGATGTGTATCTGATACCTGCTGTTTTCGCCTACAGCCCAACTGCACATGCAGATGTGTATCTGATACCTGCTGTTTTCGCCTACAGCCCAACTGCACATGCAGATGTGTATCTGATACCTGCCCAAGTCAACCCTGTCCTTCTAGTTCCACTCGCAGAAACTCTACTGCACTGGTCTGAATCAATGACCATGGTTTATCACAGTGACTTCACACAGCCCATTTCTCCATCCCAAAAGCCCTTTATCCGGTTCTGCATAGTGCCACCTCCCTCCGAATGCTGTCTGACTCCCTTCAAGTTCGGGAGGCCCTCCTCCTTGCTCCTCTTGCCCATCTGCATCTCTGTTCCGCCATCTGTCAGGCCGCCGTTCCGCCGCGCCTCTCTCTGGCACGCCATTACTTCCTGAGGCCAAAAAGCCTGTGCATTGTGAGCTCTGAATGCTAATCTCATAGCAATGAGCACTTGAGGAACACTGAGTGGAGAGTGTTTATAGGATCTAAAATGCCATCATTTAAACATGGCTACTGTTTCTGCCTAGTACTGTTTCTACTTCACCAGGCAAATTATTCTCCTTAACAAGAATACTTTTTACTAATCAGTTTGCCTTAGGGGTAGAAAGGCCTTGTCTTTTCTATTTGATTTTTTTAAATTATTGTGTTTATCCCAAGTATTTTACTAACTTTAGTTTTTACATTTAATTTTTTTAACCCAAGTACATTTTTCAAAGTACACACACATCACCGCCACTGCCGCCGCCGCCGCCGCCACCACCAGATAACTCTAAATATTAACATTGGAGTCTAGTTTCTCATACTGATTTTGAGATTAGACAACCAGAATATGGTCTGAGTGAAAGATGAATATTGAGTGACTTTCCTATTTGCTCTCTCATTCATATGAAATTGTTGAGCCTCTTTTCTATGCCCCTTACCCTCATTGGTAACCAACCCTAGGGCTTTATACATGCTGGCAAGTGCTCTGCCACTGTGCTGTGCTACAGACAGTAATAACTTTAATGTGTTTTATATAGGGCACAGGGTTCTGTGATGAGGGAAGCGTTCTTGATCAGTACTATCTAATATAGCAAGCACTACACTTGCTTAGCCAACACATTTAAAACCCTACTGATAATATCTACACTCCCATATAATTAATGTACACTTCGTTACAACTCTTCAGTTCATTGCCAGATACTAATATAGACACATATTGATGACCTAGACATTCTACTCACTCTGTTCAAGGTTCGTCTGGTTACCTGAATAGAGAAGACAAGTAAGCATGCGTTTGGCCATGGAGAGAATGAGGGTAGACAGATAGGTAGGTAGACAGAGAGACAGATAGATATACAGATGTGAGGGGTGCTTGTCTATCAAAACAGGAATGTTTTCTGAAATTATTTAAACCAAATGGCCCCATTTTAGTGTTGGAACTTGTGATATGGCTCTGCAGCAAGAAATTAGTATCTCAAATATACACATCAAAAAGAAACATTGAATTAACATAGGTCAAGTTCTACATTGTAAATTGCATTTACCTTAAGAGTGCTGAAAAAATGTGCTGCTTTAGTTTTTAGTGGACCAAGATACCAGTACCTAAGAAAAACAAAGATAAAAAGATGAAAAGAGCTACCAGTGTGCTAGATATAATCTAAGATAATTCATCAGGACTGTACCTCTATTATGATTGACTGCTTTAAGGGCTTGAAGATTATAGCATAACTTATATAATACAGTTATAACGTAAATTTTAATGGCATACCCAACAATATGCAATTAAATGGTAGAAAGATTCTTGTAGTTAATAAGTGATGTATATAAGTCTCTTTGACCCCTAAATTTATACTTATATACATTATTATACAGACTTATACCCATAGAATACGTTGATCATACAGTCAAAAGGGCCACAACAAGAGCAATAAAGCCACATAGAGATAGTGTATTATAGATGCTGTGTGACATGCTATGTTAGAAGATACAAGACTGGATCCTATATCCCATGGCGCCTCTCACACAAAATGCACACACATTCATATAAACCATTATAATTCACATTGCCCATGTCATATAGCTTTAATATGCCAAGTGTTAAGTCTCAGAGTGAACATTTGTTGCACATTGTGAAGCGCATAGAAGGGTTGCAATTAGAAAGTGATGCAGATGCCATCCTATAGATTAGCCCTGATACCACCATGATACTTGACTACTCCTGATTGGTTCATGTCAGAAAGCCTTTCCTGAGCTCCTATTACATGTATGGAGAAAGACGTATCAAGTATAAACATACAGAAGAACACAGTATAAAATTCTTATGTTTGGACCCATAAATACTAGTAAATAAGTGACTACATGTGTCGTGGTATAAACTAATCACTATTTATTGGCAAGAAAAGTCAAGAAAAAAGTATTAGAGTGGTCGTGTTGTGCAATAAAACTGACAAGATACAGGTATGGAGCAGAAAGTGACTGGGAGTGAACCAGAAAACCACCCTGATTCAAGTGGCTTATTTCTAAAGTGTCAGCAGTCCCTTGCACCTTTGAAGGTAGTAAATTTGGACACTATTCTTGTAGTCCTTCTATGGCCAGCAAGGGCAAGTTTCTTATTTCACACCAAAAGAGACCACCTGCAGACTTTGAAACTCATTGTTCACAAGCCAGCCAAAAATATGGAGCTGGGAGATGAGCTATTCCTAAGACAGCTGACCTGTGCTAGCGCTGAACTGTTGATCGCTTTGGAAATCAGTTTGTTCTACGCACACTTTCTCAAAGATAGCTAAGCAGTGAGCTGTGGAACCTGAGATGACAGACCAAACACAAGGTAATTTGTGGAATCAGCATAACCGTGGCACACTTGCAAATAAAGAGATGAGAAGATTTAAGACTGTAGTGTGTAATGAGACATAGCAGTACTTTTCCACTGACATTTCACTGTCAGGAATTTCATTACCAGGGATAATAGAGTGAAACATGTGAGAAATTTCTGTGAAGAAAGTTTAGCAGTCTGGTCCATGAATTGCAAGAGGGGTTTCTTGATGAGAGCTGTACACGAGATCAATCATAACTCAGTAACCTCTACCAAAACCGTAAGTCCTGGGCTGTAGGCAAAGGAAGGAGGACACTCTACTAGAAATGAATCCTTGCGTGTCTCCTTCAGGAAGCCAGGCTACACAACTCTTTCCTAGCCAGAATTTTCATTCCAAGCAGGCCTTCAAAACTAAGTCTTTTCCCATGGAAGCCAGCAGCTGCTCACCGATCATTCCTGAGTCTGTTCTTCCAGTCAGCAAAGCCAGATACCCACCTTTCCCCCTTCAAAGGGGCAGCCCATGGTCTCTCCACCTACAGGCTTTTTCAAACAATAGCCCACATACAGTCTGCTGACCTCCTAGCACTGCAAAGGCTCCCTGAGGCCAAGGCACAGGCAGCACCTTGGGGTTCAGCTAAAAATGCTGCTGTATGATAAGCAAGTCCTCCTTCTACGTAGCGTGAACCTAAGCTAAATGTGTGAAAAGAGACATGCCCTTCTCTTTATGGTTTTCCCTGTCCCTTCTTCAGCCTATGGATGCCAAACTCTTACCTGGGTGCTCCTATTGCATTATCAATACCTAATATAGCTTCCTGGCCCAAAGGATTTACTCGTATACTATTGTATTTTAAAACCTCAAATGCAAGGATGGCATAAAACTTTCCAACGATCATCACATATCAACAAAGCAATCCTTTACTTGCTAACGTTGACGCCAGCGTCTCTGAAGGATCCCCATCGGAGGCCAGTCATTGCAAATACAGGCTGTTCCTTTTCGCCCTGCAAGTTAAATACACTCGATTTAGCTTTGTGACAATAGTAAATTCGTAAGTATATAGAAAATGTCCTTGGCCTACGTCTCACTAAACCAAACAAATATTAAAGCAATTAACCCTATGAACACATGGTAAGAGGGCTTCAATGATCTATACTTGTGTTTAGTTCTCATGAATCTGCTGGTAAGGGAACATATTAGCTGTAATTTTGAGTAGCTAAATTCTAATAGCTGAAAAGTGATAGATATAGGGTCCCACGTTTTAAGAAGAGGTGCAATACCATACACAACTCCATGGAGTTTGCTAAAAGACAGAGGGACCAACCAACATGGATTCTCCCATACCATCAATTCTCTATCCTGACCAATATAAGCTAAGACCTGGGCTGGGAGCAGCCTGAGGATCTTTGGCACTAGAATTTGCTGGCCTGAAGAAAGCGCCTTGCAGCTTGTCCTTAAGAGATCAAGGGTTCCTTCGGTCCCAGGACCAGCATCACTGTGTCAAAGCCAAGCAAGAGAATTTGTGTAAGAAAAGCAAGGGAGAAGAACTGTACAGGAGACACTGGTCCCCTCGCCCCTGCAGTGGATTGGCTTTTCTACTCTGTACTCAAACAATCAATGGGGAGAATGAACTGGAGAGAGAGAGAGAGAGAGAGAGAGAGAGAGAGAGAGAGAGAGAGAGAGAGAGAGAGAGAGAGAGAGAGAGAGAGAGAGAGAGAGAGACAGAGATGGCCTGGTTAGGCAACTGGCTGACTGGCACAGCAAGGACATGTTTGTCTCTGGGTGCCAAATAGAGAGTACTTCATCTGAGAGTTGTAGGCCAGCGGCTAAGGCACTCAAGAATGAAGAGGCTACCGAGAGTACTTACCCTGAGAACTACAGGAGGAGTTCAAAGAAACGGAGCTAAAACAGATTTCCAACCTCGAAATACAATGTCATGGGGAGGTATACAAAAGGAAACTCATATGAGCCCATTAGAGGCCTAGCAGTGAGGCATCAGCAACCACCAGGGAGATAGAGCACTGCCAGTCAAGCAAAGAGTTTCTGCTAACCTTCCTCTTAGCTTTCAACAAGAGAGAAGCTACAAACAACAGATGAGGGTACAGCAGAGCCAAAGTAAGCATTTCATGGATATTGCTAAGAGGACAGATTACTAGCTGATCTAGGAGATGAGAGAAGGTGCAGTTGGTAAGTGTCATCGAACAGAGACAAAATCAGTGTAATCCAGATTCAAGGCCTTAAAGGCCTCTGAATGACCTTGGCTTTTATTCAGGGAAGAGACACTACTGAGGTCTTTGAGCAGAGAAGTGATGTGCCCTAACTTGTGATCACACAATGGTTGTTGGAAACAGCCCATGGGGAGGCAAGGTCATAGTCAGAGAGCTCTGCAGTAAGATTAAAGTCACCAGGTGGGCACAGGAGACTGAAGAAGAGATGCTGGTCTCTGGAGAGGTTCTGAAGGTGGAGCTAACATGGTTTCTTGCCTCCCTCCTATATGTGGTCTTTTAGAGTACGTCATAGGAAGAAACACATCTTGACTGACTGCCTCACCAAATCGAATGTCCAATGACATGTGACCACACACTGAATGGTGAACGAGCTAAATATGATACTATTATATTCGTGATTTCTTGTATTTTTGGAGAATCTTCAGTTCGTGTTATCAGGTTGGGGTGTGTGTGGAAGGAAGAACTCGCATCAAGCTTTGCCTACAATGTGTATGGCATCACACTTTGTCTACAGAGTTATCTTCACATGCTGAGAGCAATTTTCAGAAATAAGAAGAGGAAAAAAATCCATTAAAACTAAACTGATTCCTCAGAAACTAGGGTAGAAGTTACTGCTCCACATTTATAAGAATTGATTAAAATTTTTCTGCTTCCTGAGCTGTGTCATTAATATACAGGGATTATTAAAAAATCTGACATCAATGTACAAAATCAGTATATGAGAGAAGGGGGTTGAAATAAGAAACACTTAAGTACAAGCACAGCAAGAATTTCCAGCTAAGCTTAATTTACTTTGCAATATATCATTTCAAATCCATATACAACAAATACTAAGTCACTGGGTTATTTAAAAAATAATCTCCTAACTCACCTCCTTTGTTAACAATCATATTTTACAACAATGTCTTTACAGATAACAATCTCTTACTAGTTATCCTTTAATCACAGTCCTCCTGTTGTGTGAAAACAACTTAGCTGTATTACATGAAAAGAGCAATTGCCATTTAGATTATGATTAATGAGATCATGATGGAAAGTCTAGACATCGCTGCATGAAGAAAAATGAAAGGAAACTTGGCTGCAAACTTGTAAGTTTACTGTTGTTGATTTTTTAACCCTTCTGTTCCCAAATACACAGAGATTTATTCTTACTCAAGAATGCCTGACTTAGCTTGGCTTGTTTCCGCGCAGTTTTTCTAACTTAACTTATCCTGTTTCTCTTTAACTGTGCTTTGTTTTCTACCTTTCTCTAAGTATCTCTCTTTCCTTCTTATTCCATGGCTGGCTGGGCATCTGGACCCTGGCATCCTCCTCTTTTTCTTGCTCCTCTCCTTCTTCTCTCGAGTCTAGATTTCTCCTCCTATTTATTCTCTGCTTGGCAGCCCTGCCTATTCCTCTCCTGCCTGGCTGATGGCTGTTCAGCTCTTTATTAGACCAATCAGGTGTTTTAGAAAAGCAAAGTGACACAGCTTTACAGAGCTAAATAAATGCAACATAAAAGAATGCAACACATCTTTGAATCATTAAACAAATATTCCAGAGCATAAATGAATAATATTCCACGACAGTTCACCAATTATAAATAGTGCTGGTAAACTGCATATGAGTTAGGTGTCCCTTGACTGAGAGACATAAGGCCAGAAATGTTCCCCATTTTGGAGTTTCTCAAATTTTGAATATTAGCTAAAAATTTTGGTTGAAATTTCCTAATGCCAAATCAAAAATGTGGTTTTCACATTTTAAAGCATATGGCATTTTGATTTTCAGATTAGGGATGCTTAGCCAGTGTAAGATCAACTTTCAGGGTTAAAGCTGGGATCATGGCACAGTATATAGACCTGAAAAGTCTTACAAAATCGTTAAATGAGTGAGCACTAAACGTCCATCCAGAATGGGGCTGGCACATCGAAGGGTTCACTACTGCATAGTGACTTAACTCTGCAGCTCTACTTCCAAGACATTTGCTCGTTTCTGTCCTGTTGTTAAATTAGATGAAGAGAGAATACTTGCTTAACTCCTATCCAAAAATCTATATCTTATTTTCTCAGATGTTAAAAGGACACTGACCAAAAATTAGAAATTGCTAATGAATCATTTCATTCAATGTAAAAGAACACTATTTATACCTCTTACCTAAAGTCAGCATTGCCAAAGTGTTCTCTTTATACTTATCTGTTTTTATTTGTTTTATTTTTATTTATGTGTATATTTGCATGCTTGTCTGTACATCACACATGCAGTGTCCACATTGGCCAGAAGGGGGCATCAGATTACCTAGATCTATTGTTCAGTAGGTTCTGAGCTGTTCCACTTGGCTGTTGAGAACCAAACCTGGCTCCTCTAAAACAACAGCCAGTGCAATTTCTCCAGCCCCTGGGTATGTTTTGTAGTGTTGTTAAGTTTGCAGTTATAGACATCACCCCAGAATATTTCAGCAATTACCTCCCAAGAGTAACGGAGGAAAATGCAATACTCTTGGAGAACCTAATGTTGAAATGCAGTCTCTAAAATACAGTTCATGTACAAGTATTTTACTTATTTACTTATTTTAGCAATTTCCATGATTATTACTTTTTCATTCTTCAAATCCAGGATTCTTTACTGGAGTCTTTTTTTTTTTTTTACCTTGAACAGACCACTTACTTTCCTTGGATTTTTCTAACACCGACATTTTTGGGATAGGCAGTCTAAATGTTTAGAATGACCCCAGAGTTTGGATTTTTCTGATTACCTCTTAATTCCATTTAGATTAACTGACATTTGGGGCAGGAAACTATACATTCGCGTGGAATCATTCTCAGAAGGCAGATACAGCCAGTTTTCTTCATGGTCAGATAAGGCAGCATATGCTAGATTTCTTTATTTCAAATACATATTTGTCCCTCTTAATGACTAAGTAAATAATTTTGGAAATGCTTGTAGATCTGCATCTCAGTAGATGTCTTCTTTTTTATTTATTTATTGTTTGTTTGTTTTGTTTTGTTTTTCTTTTTTGAGACAGGGTTTCTCTGTATTGCTTTGGAGGCTGTCCTGGAACTCACTCTATAGACCAGGTTGGCCTTGAACTCACAGAGATCCACCAGCCTCTGCCTCCCGAGTGCTGGGATTAAAGGCATGTGCCACCAACACCTGGCTTCCCAATAGATTTCTTACCATTGCATTCAGTTTCTACTGATGATCTTGACCTAAAATTAATTATCAAAATGATGACTGAAAAATCAGCAATTCTTCTGTAACATTGCCTGGACCTCAGGAACTCCTCATTTTTATGTAGGACATTATAACCTATCACAGTTAATTTTGATATCCTCACACCAGTAGGGTGGCTCTTAACATCTTTCTATGATGTCCATACCTGACACCCATTCTTTGAGAACCATCTTTTCACTGAGTCATGGTAGATTTTTGTTTGTGTTTCTAAGACAGCAGTAATTAAGGACCAAAGTCTGAGTGCCCAGTATGCTGTGAGGTAAAATTTCTTCTATACCCATTCATTAGCACAACCAGCAAACATTTCTAAATCAAATTATTCTCTACAAATAAGAAAATGTTAATAAGAAAATAGCTTAATAGAAAAATGTAGAATTCTAAGATGCAGGAAACTACAGAACAGCGTGAGAAAGGTTGGACAGATAATCTATACAGTCCTAACTATTCTTAAGCCATGTGAAAGCTAAGATTCCAAGACAACAAGTGCATTGAATGATGAAGAGCAGCGACTCCAGCGGGTCGTGAGAAAAAATTCACCTGTCGCAGAGCATGGATGAAAGATACAGCCAGCATTTAAACAAGTACAGAAATCAGCCATCTGAAGTACTTTATGAGTCTGTTTTTCTTTTAAAAGGCAGGGTTTCATGTAGTAAAGGTTTGCTCAACTTGCTGTGTAGCTGAGGATGACCTTGAACCCTTCATCCTTGTGCTACTACAGAGGGTTGGGATTATAGGCATACAGCGCAATGTCTCGCTTCAGGGGCTCTTCTAATGCTCAAAACAACCATAGACAGATGGATTTCTTGAATAGGTGGAGGAATTAAAACCAGATATAACTGTATCAGGAAGTGGTATCAAAAGATGACATCATATATTTAATGCTACTGAATTGCAGACTTAGAATGACCAATGACCACAGTTGTAAATTACATATCATGAGGTCCTAGGGATTAAACCCCAACACGTAAACACACATTCTAACATTTGTTTATTATACCTTCAGCCCCAATTACAATGGTAATTAAAGTGGGGATCATATGCACATTAATTAGTGGTAACAGAATCATGCATAGTGCTTTTCTGGGGACAGGAGGAGAAAAAGAATGCCATGTTCAACATAATCCCATGGGAACTATTTAAACTTTGTTTTCCTCGGGGTGTGCTTATTCCTCTGATAACTTTTTCAAAATCTGAAGGAAAGGTTTTACCTTGATCTGCAAGACATCGAGTGGGACCGTCTCTCCTTTCACAATGGCGAGTGTGGCGTCCGTGATGTGTCTAAATGGGAAAAATGGAAAGAATCCCGTTGTAAAAGGTAAACACCACCTCCTCGTACACAGCATGCACACAGGTGTGCACACACTCACACACACCCACACTCAGAATCCTAGGAGAACAGCCAGGAAAAGCCAGTCTTCTGGAATAATGCTAAGAAGGGGGGAGGAGAGCATGGGGAGAGTTACCAATTGAGAACAGTACAATGTTCTGAGAGATTCATAGAGATTGGAATGTATGTATGTACCATAGTGATCATTTGTTTACTTAACACTTACTAAATCACTCCACTGTGCCTATTAGTGGAAAATATGGTTCTTAAATGCATAACAATAACACAGCACCTTTTAATCAGGGTAAGAAACCATTTGGAAAAAAAAATTTCTGTCTTCTCAAACAGCCAGATGGTAACTAACAGACAGGACTTAGAGCTATAATAGCAATCTATAGTCCAGGACCCAAGACATATTTCCTTATTTTCCAGGATTACAAGGATGTTCTTCAAGCTTCATTTTCACTGCTGATTGTTTCAGTCAAGGCACCAGACTATTCTTACCCACATTCTGACAATCTATTGAAAAATCTATATGAAAAAATTAAAAACTCACTGATGCGTCTACTATGTATTACACATCCAGGGCATATAAAATTATGCCAGATCTGCAAACAAGCCTAGAGTTTGTACTTTAAATTCAAAGCCAGACATATGTAAATACATGACATATGGTCAACAAGAAAACATTAAGCCAAGTGGCGAGACATTGAAATATCTGCCCCCCATGAGAAGAGTAGAGCACTACAGAGAAACCCTGTCTCGAAAAACCACAAAATTAATTAATTGATTAACTAATTAAACAAAAAAAAAACAGTCTGTACTGTGTGCTTATTAGCACCATCATCTGCCTCCTCCTGGAGAACAAACACTCCCCAAAGTACCCGACCAATGAAAACTCTCCATCAGCACAATGCATGCCAAATAACAGGCAGGCAGTATTCGCTTAGATATCTATTCTCTAGAATTTCAAGCACACAAACTGCAGAGAACTCCTGAATTATTTCTCACTCAGACCTAACAATTATTAACTCGTGACAAACATTACTTCTTCACATTACCCTGTAAGCCACTAGTCAATAAAAGCAAATCTGAATCCTTAATAGATCATTATGTATCTGCAAAAGAGACAAGAAATACTATTATTATACCTAAAATATTGACCCACTGTGTATCAACATATTTAGTCTGTTCTCAAGTTTTAAATAAATACTTCCTTTGTTCAAGTCAAGGTTCAAACAAGACACCTAAATGGTGATTGGCTCATGTGTGTTAAATCTCCTTTACTCTGCTCTTCTTCATTTCCCTACCTGTTAAAGAGATTGACTATTTGTCTACTGAGTTTCTGTGGATTTGAACCTTGGTGATTATGTGTAAGGCCCTAGTGTATACATACCTACTCTAGGTATTTTCTGAGTACAGCTAGAATGGAAATTTGTATCAATTTAGTCTTAAGAAGAGAAAGAACACCTGTCTTTTGGTGAGGATGGCAACCAATGAAAATAATTACCTAGATTCACTGAGTCTCTCCAGCTCCATGTTCTATCGTTCTTTTTCATCTATCTTCTATCTTACAAAAAGAACCTTTCCCTCATTAACAATCTGGATACAATACAATACAGGTCACGTAAGAAAGCCAAGATTAGGCAGGCATGATGGTGCATGTCTTTAATCCCAAGCCATGGGAGACAGAGGCTGGTGTATATGTGAGTTCAAGGCCAGCCTGGCCTACAAAGCTAGTTCCAGGACAGTCAAGGCTGTCAAAAAACAAATAAACAAACAAACAAACAAAAAACACCCCCAAAGAAAGTCAAGATAAATGTTTAAATCCTTTAAAACCGTGAAACAGGGTCTCAGGTATCCTAGTGACTATGAACTTCTGATCTCCTCACCTCTTATCTCCCCAGTGCTAGGATTAGATGCACGCCATCATGACTGCTCTATTCCAAGATGGGAATGGAACCCAGGGTTTCATGCTTGCTAGCATTTTATCAGCTAACGTAAATCACTTCTCCCTCTTTCCCATTTATTTCGTTACGGTCTAACTTTGTCCTCCAGCTGACTTTGAACTGGCTATATAGATGAGGCTGACCTTGAACTCACAAAGACACACCTGCCTCTGCTTTTTGACTGCTGTATTAAAGGGGTGCACCACACCTTTCTGCTGGGGAATACGCTGTCACTCACATTGGCTTACTAGAACACTGATTGGCCGGTGGGGTGAACAAACCAAAGAAGAAGGGAGGAGTCGGGAGATGCTGGCCAGAAGGGAGAGAGCAAGATGGGTATGCCGTACTGAGAGATGGTACCACCACGTGGCAGAGCGTGAATAAGAAATATGTGTTAACTTAAAAAATGTAAGAGCAGCTTAGTAATAAGCAAGCCTGACTTATTGGCTGAGCATTTAAGAGTAATATTAAGCCTTCCCGTCAATTATTTGGGAAGCAGCCACCAGGTATTTGGGAACAGGTGGGCAGGAAAAGAAACTTCAGTGTACATATGGCCTTCCAACGCGGAGCCCCATTTCTACATAAAACCTGACAAAGGATTCTAAGCACACAAGAACAAAGTCAAGGATGGCTTCTTGGTATCTGCATTTTCCCAGGTGGGCTCTGTTTGATGGCAGTGAGTAGAGGCTTGGCTCCTTTAAGAGACGGCTCCCTGACTCAGTACTGGCCGCAACATGAGTGAGTCTTACAGATCCCACTACCAAACACTTAAATGGGGTTTATGAGTAGAACACTACTTGGTGGTAGCATGAACCCAGAAACTTCCCAGAGATGGAGTGTTAAACATGGAGAGAGGGAGTTAGAAGAAAGAGAAGGGGAGAAGCGGAGGGAAAAGGAGGACAGGAGACAGCATGAAAATGAATTGGGAATAGAGGAGAACAAGAAAAGAGACACCATAATAGAGGGAGCCATTATAGCTTCAAAGAGAAATCTGGCACTAGGGAAATGTCCAGAGATCTACAAAGATGACTCCAGCTAACAATCTAAGCAATAGTGGAGAGGCTACCTTAAATGCCCTTCCCTGATAATGAGATTGATGACTACCTTATATGCCATCCTAGAACCTTCATCCAGTGGCTGATGGAAGCAGAGGCAGACACCCACAGCTAAACACTGAACTGAACTCTGGAATCCAGTTGCAGAGAGGGAGGAGTGATGAGCAAAGGGGTCCAAGACCAAGCTGGAGGAACCCACAGAAATAGCTGACCTGAATAAGGGAAAGCCCATGAACCCCAGACTGATAGCTGGAAAACCAGCATAGGACTGTTCCAGACCCCCTGAATGTAGACGTCAGTTTGGAGGACTGGTTAATCTATGGGGCCTCTGGTAGTAGAATAGTATTTATCCCTAGTACATGCATGAACTCTGGGAGCCCATTCCACATAGAGGGGTACTCTCTCAGCCTAGACACATGGGGGAGAGCCTAGGTCCTGCTTCAAATGATATGACAGACTTTGAAGATCCACTATGGAAGGCTTCAACCTCCCTGGGAGGGTCAGTGGGGGGGGCAGAAAAGGAGGTTAGGGAGAGGAAACTAGGAATGACATGCATAACAAACTTGTTTCTAATTTTAATAAAAAAATACACATAGGCTTGGGAGAGAAAAGAGAAAGGGTAGAGATAAAAAATGTAATAGGCCGTATAAGGATGGAAAATACAGAGAGTCTGGATTATGTAATTATTATGTTGTCTTTCGATCTTTTGACTGTCAATGAGCAAATAACAACTGTTGAGAGACATTTGATTATAAAAGCTCCTAGATTAAATCAATCTATATATATATATATTAAAAATATCGTGACTTCAAAATTTAAATCAAAAGGTATGTTACTTCTGGAAAGTGGCTGTGGATTCATTCTGGGTTAAGAAAAATCATATTTGATCAAGGAAGACCCCCTGAAAAATCTCCAACAGATGGCCCAGATGATCCAAATGTTTCTTAACACCTTTGTTGCAGTTTATTCTGAGTTCTACATCCACAAAAGCTTCAAGATTACTAGGTGAGATGATTCAGCCTCACAGAATACTTCAGTCAGGACTTGATCATAATCCTAAATTTTTTCAGAGTCCCCCTAAGATTAGCAGTGCCCTCAATCAACAAAAAGTAGTCTACATAACTATGCCCACATTTCCAAAAAAATGGTTATGGATATTTACTATCATTTAAGGGGAGATGGTTACAAGTTGTTATTGGTAATAGTCAGAAAAAAAGCTGAACAAGAGAATAGATTCAAGGATGTCTTTCTAGAAAGAAAAGGGGGATACAGAAATAGGATAGCTTGTTTTACATATCAATCCCAGTTCCCTCTCCTTTCCCTCCTACCCTGCCCCCACCAGCCCTCAGATGTACCATAATTTGTACAGCCGCCAATTCATGAGTTGTCTGACACTGGTATTATTCCTGCTTTTTGGTAACTAGCAACAGTTTTTACAAATAAGGTATGGATCTGTATGTCTGCATTTCTCTTAGGTAAAAGCCTAAAAAGTATAACACATTTATGTTGCATTCGATAAGAAAAAACCACATTAGTTCCTATCAAGGCCGTAACGTACTACTTGGCATTCCTGTCATCAATACATGAATTTCAATTGCTGAATAGACTTAATAATGCTTATGCTGTTTTAGAATGCTTTTCTTCCTTTTATTTAACGTAAGCCATTGCAAGTTGGAGAGATGGCTTAGTAGTTAAAAGTACTTGCTGCTTTTGTGTTCACATGAGGTGTACAGCTATCTATATCTCCAGTTCCAGGGGATTCAATGAGCTCTCCTGGCCTCCTTGGCACCTAGAATTCTACATGTATGCAAAACAGCCATACTTATCTTTGAACCCATTATTCTCCTTTCAACATAAATATTGCCTGGGGAGTGGACAGCAAAGTTTAAAAGCAAGTTTCTACTTGAAGGAAGCAAGAAGCACGCACGAGGTGTCTGCTAGCTTGTTCCGAGGGTTTGTGGGTTATGGAGGAAGCCCCGCAGACGATGCGTGCATTGTACTTAATCTCAACAGCACACACCGAGGTGTCTGCTAGCTTGTTCCGAGGGTTTGTGGGTTATGGAGGAAGCCCCGCAGACGATGTGTGCATTGTACTTAATCTCAACAGCACCGGGTGCATGGGGAGACTCAGGGAGCGCCTTTGAGAGTCTGACGAAAAAACAGCCCAAACTACTGCAACTCAAAAAGACTTTTTGCATTACGTTGCTTCTCCAAACTGCTTGGCGGAAGACAACTAAAATGCAACCTCAAATTTATCATTCTCTAACAATAGCTCCAAGTTCTAATAAAGAAGCACTGTAGCCTGGCGCTTAGGATTATTTACCTGCAACAGCCCACATTCCAAGAAAAAGGATGTTTTTCATCTTTAGTAATTATGCGACAAGAAATCTTGACAGCCGGGCAAAAGGCAAAGCTTTGTTCTTATTAAATAGCCTCAGGCAGCAGCCATGTTAAGAAGTTTGAAAAATTCTGAGCCCAGGGCAGAGTTACTGATTACCTAAGGGCCCTGGGGCATGCTTATATATTAGACTTTATTAATCTTTAAATTATAAATAGAAGCAGCAACACTAGTAGTTTAAGAACATGGAAAAAGCTGCTCGCCAAAAGCAGAACGCCATCTCAGATCCCAGGGGTGTCCGCATGTGAATGTAAATTGGCTTTCGGACAGGCAATGGTTTCTGCAGGGAAAACAACATGTCTCTGACCACTGACATGCTGTTGGAAATGCTGCCTGCAGCAGTTCGATAACCTTTACTGATACAAGGAAAGGCAAGCTCACTAAAGTAGTCAAGTCTTAAACTGTAAGGGATTTATATCAGATCAGCAAAAATGCCTGAGTCATTAGTCATCATCTACTGCCCTCAAAGATTCTAACCTGTGACCCAAAAGTATGACCCATTAAAAGGTTGTCCCTGTTTGCTAGGCCTCAGGATGGTCGGAGAGTGGCTGGAGGAGCCTGTAAAGGTATGACACCTGAGAAATATTAGAATGAGGATCTTATAAATACCTATATGCCCCCAGGCTTTTATTAACAGCATGGAATTGTTAAGATATATATTTGTTGGCTCTCAAAATTACAACAGGGAAGGTCAATCTATAAGAACCAGTATAAGAAATCACTGTAAAGCAGAAAAAAATAATTAAACCAAATAAAAAAAGTCACTTGAGTATCATTATTATTGACTTAGAAGGTTGTAACAAGAAAAAAATTCTGAGAAATCTTAACTAATTCATTCAGCAAATATTTATTTCCTGTCACACAACCTTGCACTGCATATGGTGTAGTGACTTCTCCAGTGCTGTCCATTTACTTAGGTCTTTTTGACAACCATTTTGCTCAAGATTATGTTATTAACTGCTGTGAAAGCCAGGTCTCAAATTCAAGTTCGACAACTTTTTGAAGGATTTGATCTTTGTTCCCTAAAGCTTTCAAGAAAAAGAACTATTATAACAATAATCTGCCTGACTCCCAAAGACACTGCTAGACTCTCAGAAATTTAGTTCACATACATGTCAGGACTTTGTCACCTTCCCTGTCTTCTGTGTCCATACTACCTAGCACTCCAGGCAGTCACAAAAGGACGTGACTGTACTTAGTTGTTTTGCTGGCTTACATTGCCAAGATAAGGAAGCCAATGAAGGTGACCAGTTCAGTTACCACAAGAGACTTGCTATTTGTCATCATGTGCACTTACAGGAAAGGATCAGTGCAAATCTACCCTAGCCTTCACGAAAGGACCTTACACGGTAAAAGCAGAAAAGCCACATGGGTCAGAGATGCCATCTCCAATCAGCTCCAATGCAGAAAGTACGCGCCTCCACCCTGACTTCAGGACTTAATATTTAGATTAGGAAGGCACCACAGCTCAACTGGGAAATACCCCAGTCCTCTGAAAGGCTGGATGCTCTCTCTCAATAACTTGAAGTTTCAAGCTACCAAAATTTGCAAACCATGCATGTGGTTTTCAGTCGTAGGCTCTATCACCCATAAATGTTAGCATCCCACATTGACAACCTACTGGACTTTGTTTCCACTTTCGGCAAAGAGGGTGTGACTCAAACTACTGGTCTGTCCCAGCGGGATAAATCCAATTGGAATCTTACTGAAGGTAGCCTGGTAGAACAAAAAGAAGAAAAGGTTGTACTGTTATAGTCAGAAAATCAGGTTTAACAGAGGCATATGTGTCCTCTAAGACAAAGCAACTGGCTTGTGTCTTCCTGCTCATCTCCAGTCCCCATCCCTAGGCCAGTAAGCAAATATTCCAAGCGAGGAGTTTCTAAAGCAAGCAGCCCATGAAAACACAATGACTTGGAATTTAGAAGATACATTTGGGTACTCAGGAAATGCAATTATTTGTATGAAACTAAGTTAAGATAACAACAGTCTTACAACTACTGGATGAGTTAGCCAGTGTGAGAGTCCCTCTAAGCTATCACATTAGATACGAAATATGCAGATAAAATTCAACTACTCATTCTACAATGACCAATGACAGGAGACAGTGTTTTATAAGCTACTTCAAATACAAATAAAGGAAAGAGTAAATCAAAGAGCTGTCAGTTAATGACAGACTAGGTGATTTAACTAGATGTTACATATACTTGAAGGTTCTTAAAGACTATTTTGAATACAACCTCCTGTTTTTACTTAAATGTTTTTTAACTATGGCAGGAAAATGAATGAGATGCTACAAAACCCCATAAGCCCACAAACCACATTTAAGAACATTCACCATATTGCTTCTGATGTTTTAAGAAATAAATTCATCACAAAATTAAAATAAATAAATAGGCAGAGAGACAGATGAAGGCCTTTGAGATTCTGTTCTCCGTCTCCTCTTTGAGGAGGTAATTATGCTAGGTTGGTATGACTCTTTCCAACTACATAATTTTTTTTCTTACCACACACTTGCATATCAAATAACAGTGACTGTACTATTTCCTACATTCTAAAACCATGAAGAAATATCTAACACCTTCTTTAGGAACTTACTTTGTAATTAACATTTCTAAGATCTAAAGAGGTAGATATGTACACATCTAGATCATTGTTGTGTTTGCACATTTGTGTGTGCACAGGTGTATGTTGAAGGGTGGGGGGATTAAGGGTGCACAAAGAGGTCAGAGGGCAACTTCCCATCTTGTTCCCTAGGCACTGTTCACATTTTTCTTAGACAAGGTCTCACCCATGGCTTGAAACTTGTGAAGTCGGTTCTCCTGGCCAGGTGGCGCTGGGATTACCAGCTGCACCACCAACTACACCCAGTTGATTTTATATGGATCCTGGTCTCAAACACAGATCTCCTTGTGGTCACCCTTAACTAAATAAGCCTAGTCCATTCATTTCAGTGCTATCGAGTTCCTCTTATATGAACATATCACCATTAATTTAGGAAAGAATTCCTAGAAGAAAAGATTCTACAGGAAATTTTTACATAGTACAAACTGTTGTGAAAAGGTCCTGGGTACTCTAGATGACCAACACAGGAAGTCCACCATGGGTTCGTAAGAGTTACCTGTGACAGAGGAACCAGTATTGCCTCATCTGTTCCAAAATCTAATCCTATTACAACTGCACTGGATTGAAACTGTAACACAGGAGTTGAGCATGGTGGCCTATGCCTGGAATCCCAGAGACTGCAGAGACTGAGGTAGGAGAATCACAAGTTCAAGGCCAGCCTGGGCAACTTATCAGGGCCATGTCTCAAAAGAAAAAATAAATGAATAAAGGGCTGGAGGTATAGCTAGTGGTGCAGTGCTCAATCAGCATACCCAAAGTCCTGGGTTCAATCCTCAGTGTAGCGCATGTGTGGGTGCGTGCGTGCATATGTGTGTGTGTGTGTGTGTGTGTGTATGTATGTATGTATGCATGCCTGCATGCATAATGAGGAGCAAAAGACAAAAGAATGATAACAAGTCAAAGTGTAAATTTTGTTACAGGCTCACCTCATCTGTTCTTCGAAGTACTCCAGTAACAACCTATGAATGTAACAAAATTACTGTAAACAACACGCATTTTCTTTATCATAACAAAGTTAGATTCACATTTCATGGACCACAACCTTACTTGTTTTCTTCTAGAAATACGTTAAATGATGTGCTAGATCCTAAAAGCACATCATTTTCTCAAATATGATCAGGGTTAAATTGGATTTTATTCTTAACCTAGAAGTAATAATAAAAACTAAGACAAATTATAAGAATTCCACATAACATTAGTAAAATTATATTTCAAGGTCTACAAAACATAAATTTACTAATGTTTACATGTTATAGGTTCTATGGAAATGTGAGCTTTTTGCAGTTATACAGTAAAGCCTGCATTACACCTTTGAGGTACACAGAGGAAAAATACCTTACCATGTTCGAAATCTGTACTCGAGTGTTTCTCCCTGAGGGCTATGAAGACAAAGGGCTAAACAACTAACATTAATCACTTCTTCGTTTTATTTTATTCATTAGATAGCCTAGACTCATAGCATTCCTCCTGCCTCAGCATGCTTGGTATTGGGAAGTAGATGTGAGCCGTCATGCCTAACCAATCCTTTCTTTAGTCAATGCCTATTTTAATGATTACAAATATACAATTCACTGTCTTTCTTTGAAAGCATTTTGTAAAAATAAAGGTTGACACATTTCACCCCCTCATCTTGTCCCACCTCACTGGGTTTAGTATTAAACAGGCTGTCACTGGTCTACTTCATTCTTTGTAGGCAATCAGAACTCTCCACATTTCATTAACAAGCTATAAAAACAATTACAAGATAGCAGAGCCTTTTAGAAAAGCAGCTCACTGAGGCTCATATGAATGCCATCAAACACAGGACAGTTCCTGCTGTTCCTCTCTGATCCCTCACACTGATGAAGCCACCAAAGAGAGGTCAAAGGCAACAGTACTGTAGTATGGGTGTAAAGCACAGCATCTGGTAAAACTGATACGCCTACATTAAAATCGCCATCTAAACTTCATCGTTGAGGTTGGTGTTCACTCGTGTTGTGCACTTTATAGACTAAGCGTGTGATGACACCTGGCCACCTGTATCACCTCCTAAAAGGCTGTGTGCTGGCTAGTTACCCTTCCCCCAGCTTCAGACAGCCTCACTTTTCCCATTCCACTCTCTACGCTTGCTTGGCCCACAAGTCGGCCAGCTGAACTATAAACTATAGTCTTCCATGGTTTCTTTCCCTTAGTCATAAACACTGTGTTTCCTCCAAGTCTTGTCGTGACCGGATAATTTTTTTTGCTTTTTCGTGCTAAGTAATCCATTACTTGAGTATGCAATTCTACTTACCATCTGACCTACTAAAGGATACCTTCCTTTCTTCCAAGTTTTGTCAATTATAAATAAAGACACTATAGATGTCCCCGTGCAGAATTGTTTTGTCTGTACAATAGTTGTAAACGCCTCTGGATAGCTTCCAATGAGCACAATTGCTGGATGACATGGTAAGAGTGAGTATGTTCTGCATCCCACCATCAGAGGATGACAGCCCCTACCTATCGCTCCACCCTCATCAGCATCTGGTACTGCCTGTGTTCTGGGCCCTGGCCATTCTGATAGGTGCAGCATCTCACTAAGGGCAAGTGATATTAACACTGAAACAAAGACTAAGGATACAGCTCAGTAGTGAGCGCTTGCCCAGCATACATGAGGTTTGTTCTCAAGCACTGACTGCCAAACAACCAACCTTAAAACAACAACAGAAAAGAAGACAGACTCCTACATCAGAACAAGCAGCACTCTTCCTGTAAGTGCAATTTTAAGAGTTAATTTTCTACACAACAAGAATGACGTGAACGGGCAGAGAGGTGTTTTCTCGAGAGAAACTGTCATCACAGAGCTACTGTATAACAGGATGCACACCGTAACAAGCTCAGCCCATCCGCACCCATTCTGCCCCATCTTATTCAGTACTTGAGGTCTAATCTTGCTATAAAACTCAAGATCTTCTACTATATCCTAAGTGCTCGAATTATAGAGCCTTGCTTGTTTTATTTAATTTTGTTAAATAATTTTGATTATATAAATCCTTCTTTTTGTTGAGAGGAAGGCTTACCAAAAGCAAGGAATGAAAAATACAGGAGGAAAGCTTAGGGCTTTAGGGCAACAGCCCTAAAATAATGAGCTACAACAATTTCTTTAATTATCGTTCCATTGTCCTAGAACCTAATTTCTGTTTTTCTCCCCTAAAAATGCTCTTGGATGGGGAGGAGGCATCCTACCTCCTGCAGTGTCCCATCTCCTCCAGCAACAATGATCACATCCGTGCTTTCCATCAATTCCAGGAGCTTCTTGGCTTGTCCCTCATAATCTGTCTGAAATATAAAAGAAGGCTTTGGTAAATCTGTCACTGTAGGACCACAAGTTCATCTGGAGGCAGGGAGTCAAGTGCACACACAAATGCAGAAGTAGATATGACGAAAAGAGCACAGGTTTCAGAGCCCAAGGGACCTACAGTAAATCTCAGCTCTGCTACTTTTTAGCTGAGTAGAGATTATTATTGTTTTGCTATAATGGTACATAAAAATGAAGATGTGTTTTCAAATACAAAGAGCACTCCATCTTCCCATTTTTACTAAGAATGTTCATCTCAAATATACACATACACTTAAAGGTACATTTCAGCCACTCCCAGGGTGTGCATTGATATGTACAGCCCTGAAGAAAAAATGCTAAAAGCTTAAAGGGCAGAAAGCAAATGAAATAGAAATACTACCTCCAATTCAAAATACACTGAACATACTAGCAGGCAAAACCCAAATACTTAACTATCAGATGGCTGAAACACCTAGATTTGAAATATCTGGTCTTTGTGCCTAGCATAGAGCGCTGAAGGTCCATAGAAATTATGCTGTTACTTAAATGAAACACCCTCAAGCGCTCCAAAGTGTGTGCTATAGAGGTAACTTTGGGAGGACCCCTGGACGGCTTTGGGATTCCAGCAGATGATGATTTTAGCATTAGAACCTTGGCCTTCATACCCTGACTTCCAGGGAGGGAGAGGAGCCTAAAAAGGAGTTCATCCATCAGGAATCAATGATTTCATCTATGGTGGTTTGAAAGAAAACGGCCCCCAAATGGAGTGGCACCATTAGGAAGCGTGGCCTTGTTGGAGGAAGTGTGTCACTGTGGCTTTTTCTCAGGCTTCACTCAGTGTGATGGTCAGTTGACTTCCTGTTGCCTCTGAGTCAAGGGGTAGCACTCTGTTCCAGCACCACTCTGCCTACACGCTGCCAGGCTCCCCTTAATGATCCTAATGGACTGAGCCTCTGGAACTATAAGCCAGCCACCCTCAGTTAAATGTTTTCTTTATGAGCGTTGCCATGGTCATGGTGCCTCCTCAAAGCAAAAGTAAACCCTAAGTCATCGTCCATAAGCTCTACACAGGAGCTCCTGTGCATATTACATGCCTACATGCACATAGGAGTTATGTGCAAACACAGGAAAATGTTACTAGTTTGGGTGCAGTAGATAAATATATGCCTTGTTTTTGTAACTTTTTTGCAAATTTGAAATTGCTCCTAAATAAAATTTAAAAGATAAGAAATTAAGCTTTCAAAGACTAATAGTTTCAATTAAACTCTAAGAAAATATTAATATTTCTACTAAGATTTAAATCTAATACCTATTTTCTGAATATGTAACATAAATAATATGCTAATTTTTATATATAAATTCTGAGTATCTTAAATTAGAAAAATTGCAAAATACTAAACAACAGATCATAGGCCTTTGGTATTAAGGAATGTTTAAATTTGTTGGGTCTGAAGACATCACTATAGTTACACAGGAAAATGTCCTTCCTTTTTAAAACACATATATTCAAGTATTTAGAAGTAAAATGCGATAGTGTTTATTTATTTCAAAGACTCAGCTACTATGTGAGGAAGCTTGCTGAGGACGGGCCACAGTCACATCAGCCTAACATGTGAGTAAGGCAGTTGGGCAGGAGAGACGGCTGAGTCACTAGAGGCTAAAGTCCACATCTAAAATGTAGCAACACTTATAACAAGCATCTATGAACCAAATTGTCTTTAAAGTATCTTGTACTCATTCCTTGAGAGTTAGTCATCATGATATAAAAATAAAAAACATAAGATTATAAACTGGGTAGGGTACATACACGGTATGCTAGGGGATTTGTAACTCCCCAGAGTGGCTAGTTTTAAAGTAGTCATTATCAATAAAAGCAAAACAAACAAACAAACAAAACAACTAGGAGGGAAAGAGAAGATTTGCAGTTCACAATGAAAAGATTTTGTTTGTAGATCATAAACAAAACACAATTTCTAGTAGTTGATACGAATTACTTCTTGGCCCACACAGAACACTTATAAAAACAGACTAGTCGAGCCGGGCGGTGGTGGCGCGCGCCTTTAATCCCAGCACTCGGGAGGCAGAGGCAGGCGGGTCTCTGTGAGTTCGAGGCCAAGCTGGATCGACAGCCTCCAAAACAATACAGAAAAACCCTGTCTCGTAAAAACCAAAACAAACAAACAAACAAACAAACAAACAAAACCAGACTAGTCAACCTAGACACAAAGACAAATCCCAATAAGCTTTAAAATCCCAAAATTACATACAATTTTTATTGATGATGATGTAGTTAATTCAGAAATCATTAACATAATAGTACCCAGAAAAACTTTAGATTTAGAAATTAAATAGTGCCGGGCAGTGGTGGCACACGCATTTAATCCCAGCAATCTGTGAGTTTGAGACCTGCCTGGTCTACAAGAGCTAGTTCCAGGACAGCCTCCAAAGCCACGGGGAAACCCTGTCTCGAACCCCCTCCCCCCCAAAAATAGAAATTAAATAGCTGACAGGTCAAGCAAAAAACGTGATAAAAATGAGATAATAGTTAGAAATGACAATGAGAGAGAACTGCATCACAGGTGATGGGACCCAGATGAAGCAACAGTCTACAGATCTAAACACACACAGTCAGGGGGAAATAAAACAGACCAACGAGAATGTCAGAACGGAGTAAAAGGAAGGAAATACTTTTTAAAGAAAGACAAGACATAAGAGAAGCCTGTCAGTGAGATCAATCTGCAAACTGAGTCTTCGGCAAGAACTAATTGAGTTGAAAAGCATCTTCAAGACTACTGTGTGGGGCCGGGCGTTGGTGGCGCACGCCTTTAATCCCAGCACTCGGGAAGCAGAGGCAGGCGGATCTCTGTGAGTTCGAGGCCAGCCTGGTCTACAAAGTGAGTTCCAGGACAGCCTCCAAAGCTACAGAGAAACCCTGTCTTGAAAAACCAAACAAACAAACAAACAAAAAAAAAAGACTACTGTGTGTGTGTGTGTGTGTGTGTGTGTGTGTGTGTGTGTGTGTGTGTACAACGCAACAGAGCAGGGAGGGTGAAATGTGACATTACTGAAGCCACACCAAGTTAAAGGATAACAAGAAGACATTGTGAACAGCTTGATGCAAACTAATTTGAAAACCAAATAGGAGGAACAAATTCATTGATGAATTTATATTGCCAAAGAGAAACAGAATTCATGTACTTGTAGTGCTCTTTTAAGAAGCCTAATATGAAGTGTCTCCCTTTAGCAAAGCTCCAGGACCATAGTTTTATCCAAGAGTTCCATCAAATAATAAGGAACTATTATTTGATCTTACATGATTACCCTCAGGGCTCTCATACTTAGAGTGAGCATTATAGATGCTCATGAAAATGTGATTTTTTTCCTTTATCCTAGCCCCAGAGGCAAGCATGCAAGATCAAGCCTGACATGTCAGAAAACAGAATTCAAAATTGCATAGCAAATTATACTACATGAACTTCTCTAATCTCTATGAGATACTCAAAGTGTAATTTAGAAATAGATGAACATCAGTCATTTTAGAATGGAGAGGGGCTTAGGAGCTGCCACTACTAATTAAGGAGCTAGTGACAACCAGTAGCTTCTCAGGAAAGAAGAGATTAGTTTTCATTAAGTGGTAGTCCCTGGTAGGTCCACTGTACTCCAGTTATAAAGTTAGGAGGGGATGGGGAATGGGGGGAGGTACCGTTGGGGGACAGATCTGAGATGAGTTGGAGGAGGAGTAGGGGATGAGAATTATCAAAATACATAATTTGTATGAAATTCTCAAAGAATCAATAAAATATTTAAAACAGTATTTTAGCAAGGAGGGGGTATATGGAAGGGTCTAGAGGGAGAGGATGGAAGGGGAAAATGGTGCAATTATATTATAATTTCAGAAAATAATTTAAAAAGAAATAAACACAGGTTTAAAACACTGGAGGGGCAGGGGTTAAAGAGAGGGCTCAGCAGTTAAGAGCACTGACTGCTCTTCCAGCGAATCTGCCTTTGAGTCCTAGCGCCCACATGGCGGCTCACAACTCTCTGTAGCTCCAGTTCCTGGGAACATGATAGTCTCCTCTGGTTTCTGCAGATAGTAGGCATGTATGCGGTGCTTGTACACACACACCCATTTTCTTTAATTAATTAAAAGTAAATAAAGCAGAAGGCTGGTTCTGACCAAATGCGCCCCCCCCCATACACACACATATGCCACTTGAAGTTCACCAAAATAGAAACCTGAGGCATTGTCTAAAATTAACAATTCCTTCAAACTTGCTTTGTCTTTTCTTCTTCTTACCCAAAATCTCAGAAACTCTAATGATTTACTTTTTAGAATTCCTAGTCACAATTCTTTACAAGGAAGAAAATGTTCACCTGCTAGTTGAACTACCAAGAAATTAAACCACTCAAACTAGAGGGCTTTGTATTTTTGGGAATGCACTCTAACAACTAAGAGATGACTCCACCTGCTGCCCCTCAGATGGAAAGTATGAGGGTCTCCATGCACTCATGTGAGCCCGTGCTCCACACACCCATGTGAGCCCGTGTGTGGCCCAAGCACCCGTGTGAGTCCATGCTAAAATGAAAAGCAGACAATATCGGGAGAAAACAAAACTTCTTTGAGTAATTAATAGAACAAGACGCAACACTGATTTTCTTCTTGTCTGACATGAAAACCTGAGTTCAGTTCTGAAGGTAAGAGCAAAGGATGTATTAGAAGCGGTGGTCTTGTGCAAATGAGGATGCAAGAGTCATTCTCACCTTGACAACAGTCACATCCATGCCAGATAGGTGTAAAATTGGGGCAGCATTTTTTTCAAATAGAGATCTGGCTTTCCTGTAGACAGAAGAAACAAAAAACACAATTATTTTAAGACATATTCTCAAGCTGGGAATAAAAAATGTAGCCATGTGCCCTAGAGAACGCAGACTATTTGTTCAAATATAGGAAGCTCAACAGTGAGTTACCCTAGATAGAAAAAGAGTTTGTCTCTTGTCTCGTACAATCAGTTTGTATACATTTGGGATGCTACATCCTCTAGACAAACAATAAGCCATCAAAACAACAAAGCCTGGCCCACTCAGAATTCCCGATGCCAGGTCCGGCAGAGGAGCAGATAGGGCAGAAACAGGGCTTGTCTACAGGACTCACCTGCAGAGCGCATGCATTCTACTGTAATTAACTTATGTTCCAATAAAGGGAGTAGAGGCTTTCACTGCAACATTATTCATATGCCCCAGGGGAAGAAAACAGATTGACTTATCCTTTTCTAATCAGTATGATCTTCTGGGAAGAGACGCACTGTTATAAAAGTTTAAACACTAGAGGCATCCCAAATCTTTAAAGTTGTATAGAGAGAGTAAAGAGTGTTTTCATGACACCTGAATTTATAGTGGGAACGGAAGCCAAAGGTGTCTGTTGTTAGGATAGACAGCTACCAAGGTAATTAGTGAGGAGCTGGTCTACATCTCCCAGGCACAGAAGCCCTGCCCCTCTAACCCTTGATGTGTCTACATCTCCCAGGCATAGAAGCCCTGCCCCTCTAACCCTTGATGTGTCTACATCTCCCAGGCATAGAAGCCCTGCCCCTCTAACCCTTGATACGTCTACTTCTCCCAGGCACAGAAGCCCTGCCCCTCTAACCCTTGATGCGTCTGTCCATCAACAAGGTTTCCAACATGATGAGGGGAGCTTTCAGAACTGTCTTTAGGACTAGATAAGAAGCTTGCGAAAATAGATGCCAGTTCTTAATAATTCCTGAATCCTCCAACTTCTAGGATGGGGTATTCCATCTGATGGATTAGTACAAGAATGAATGAGGCAAATTCTGAGGAAAGGCAGACATGATTGTGGTACCTTACATTAGGGAATGACTGAGCAGCCTTTGGATGGTTTGTGCATTTCTCATGAGCGTCATTCCATAGTGCACTCTAGTCCAGTTCAGGTCAAATTGAAAAACAGCCAAGGGATCAAAAGAAGAAGTAGCAAAAGTCTCTCCACACAAATGGCAGAGTTAATGTCAAATAAATGTCAAAATATATAAACTAGCTGGTCTGTCTTTTACCCTGGTATTTTCACCTACCACACACACACATACAAACAGTATTAAAACATCTAACGTCTACATACATATTTACTTAGCTCTTTTCCTAAAATAGTTTCCTTAAACAACAGTGATTTGTGCTTTACCTTTCTTAAAGATATTTATACAAGAAATACAAAGACGGGCCGAGCGTTGGTGGCACACGCCTTTAATCCCAGCATTCGGAAGGCAGAGGCAGGCGGATCTCTGTGAGTTCAAGGCCAGCCTGGTCTACAGAGCGAGTTCCAGGACAGCCTCCAAAACAATAGAGAAACCCTGTCTCAAAAAAAAAAAAAAAAAAAGAAGAAGAAGAAGAAATACAAAGAATACTTAAGAGCAGGACACAGAACAAATCTTAACTGAAAGCTAGAACCACTAAATGGCACACCAAAATGAATATTACTTATTTACCAGGAAATATGATGGAAATTGAAAAGATTCCACAAGAGCCATCAAGGCCCTAACTGGGAACATACGCAAGTTCAATACTTGCCGCCTTTTCTGACACTTGAATAATTACCAGAAAGAGCATGAAAAGCTGCATGGAAATGAATTCCCTGTCCCCTTCTCCATTCCTGCACCGTAATAAAGGTGAAGCTAGGGACATTGCACGGTGCCTTTACTGCTGGAATGATGAGAACGGAAGCTGGGAGTGGAGCACATCTGTTTCCTAAAGCAAAGCTTTGACCAAGTCTCAATCTGTTATATCAATAATATCAAATCTGTGGCTTCCTGCAAGGTCAGAGACATTTAAACATTTGTTTATTCACATCTGTGATGCCACAGGTTCAGAAAATCTCTAAAAGAAAAGACTTTTCTTGAAAAACAAGTGTTGCCAGTAAGAAATACATTATTTATTACATAATTAAGGGTGCAATAGCACCAGGCCTGGATAAGAACTTTATGTACTTACAGCAATTTCTAGACTCGAGCACCACGCAAGACAATTACTCTTTAATGTATTATTTATTAACACTAAACACATAGTTATCTTATTTCTCAAGGTTCTCCTGAAGTTTAAACCAGTCCTACATAATGAGATAGCTTTACAATAAATTATACATTGTGTTAGTGCATGGCCAGCGTGACAAAAATGGTGCCATTACATAGTAAAAGCTTTAAAGCAAAATGTGCTGGAGGGTTTCAGGGCGTCCGTGTCCTCCACGCGTGTGGGGATCCGCCCTGGTATGGGAAGCAGTGCACTTGGGAATGGCCGTCTGCAGCAGCGTCTTGACCTGCCTCTAGATAAAGTACTGCACTTGCAAACGAGTCTGCGTCAACTGTGAACATGTAGATAGGAGCTGGGCTGACGCTCAGTGGCTAAGGCTGGCTGAACAAGCTCACATGCAAAGACTCAGAGCTCTGATCCCTGGAGCCCACATAGGTCCCGGCGGGTGTGACGGTCAGGACAGAGGACAGGGGACCCACAGCAGGCAGGTGAGGGACAGCAGACATGCTGACAGCTTCTGAGTCTCACTGAGACCACAGCGAGTGAGGCAGGAGAGCAATGGAAGGTGAGCCCCACATCAACCACACGTCATATGTACACACATGTGTCCCACATATGCATACACACCCCACATCAACCACACGTCATGTGTGTACATGTGCCCCCATATATGCATACACACACCCACACGTCATGTGTGTACACGTGCCCCCACATATACATACACATACCCATACACACACACGTCATGTGTACACATGTGCCCCCACATATGCATACACATACCCATACACACACGTCATGTGTGCACACATGTGCCCCCATATATGCATACATATGCCACACATGTCATGTGTGTACACATGTGCCATCACATATGCATACACATACCCCATATACACGTGTCATGTGTGTACACATGTGCTCCCACATATGCATACACACACGACATGTGTGCACACATGTGCCCTCATATGCATACACACACCCACATGTGTGCACACATGTGCCCCCACATATGTATACACATACCCCAAACACACATGTCATGTGTGCACACATGTGCCCCCACATATGCATACGCATACCACACACACGTCATGTGTGCACACATGTGCCCCCACATATGCATACGCATACCACACACACATGTCATGTGTGCACACATGTGCCCCCACATATGCATACACATAACCCACATACACACACACGTTATGTGTGGGGGAAAAAGATTTTAAAAAACTTTTAGTACATGCAGGTATATGTAAGATGTAAGAAGGACCTAAATCTTCTATAAAAAATTAAGTTTGTAAATATGAAAAACAACGTGGCCTGGGGGAAAATAAACAAAACAGCAGCAAAAAACAAAACAGCACAAACCCCATAACTTAGCAATAATCAACTCTATTGTAAGAATACTGCCAAGACCTTGTCACTGAGTAACTCAGAATATTCTAGAAGCAGAATAATACACAGGCACACACAGAGCTCTCTGTTACCTTTGCCGGGTGACAGTGTCTGAGTATTTCAGCTGTGCTGTTTAAGAACTTGTCAATGTGGTTTATCACTGATGTGAAATTTGGTGTCTATTGCGAAGGGGAGTGACTTTAACCAAGCCTAGCAAGTCTATTATACAAGGTTAATCTGCATAATCAGGCTCAATTTACAGAAGGGGTCAATATACCCCTTACTGGGAAGTCAAGCCCAAGCTTCCCCAAAGGATACTACATACCCCCAAACTCATTTTGGTGCTCTTGCTTCTTTTTGACCCAGAAAACAGTATCTGTACACTTAAAATCTGGCCCCAACTAGTCATTATCAATGTCATGTGACTTTAGTTTTACAGCCTCCAACCTAATATATAGTCATAAATTACTCAAACCTAGAAAACACAATTGATCTAGACACTGGGCCAATAATAGGTATATCATTTTTTTCTTCTTCAATTATTTCCTTCTATTTTTTAAAAAGTAAATTAAAAAAAATTTTTTAATGGCCAACCACCTAACTAGCACTATAAATTTTCTTTTTCCTGCTTATGGCTTTTTCCCCACTTAGGATACTTTTGAGTTCCTCCACACCCTCTCATGGTCTTCACCGGCGCCTCTCCATCTCAATGTGTGCGATAAACTAGCCAAGAAATACAGCCCTTTAAACAAAGGTCCAGCTATTTGTCCTATCTTCCCCCACAATCCCTTTATGCAGCAGTTACTAAAGAACATGGTCATTTTTATTCCTAGGCTGCTCCTCTACAGGCCACGTCCTCCTTTGGGAATAATGAGCATTCTCCTCCAAGACCAGCTGAAGGCTCCCTTCTTTGGAAAGAACACACTGTCCTCCTGAACCCACAGTGAGTACTCTTGGCATCTCTATCTTTGTCTATGATGACAGCCTAACACAATTATGCAAAGCAGGAGAACAATCATTCCCATGAGCATCGGTTCATGCCATGGTTACTTCACAGTTAATTGTTGCTTCTGCTTTAAGAATAACTCCTGAGGCTATAGAGTATTGGTGCCAGTCCCTCTAGTCCTGCAGAGTCTAACCGGCTGTCTCTATGGTGGTTCTGTCTTTTGCCTTGAGAAACTGAATAAGTAGGTCACAAGCTGAAATACCCTTTGCACGCTGCAGGGTTGAGAAAGACCGTGGCTTTCTTCACTTGTGCATTGGGAGGAATGAGCTGGTTGCCAAACACCTGGAAAGGAAAAGAGACGTTTTCAATTAAATGCCCTTTATTCAGCCAGTGATCAAATACATTTTTTTTATCCCCAAAGAATTTACTTCTAGTCAAAGATCAAAAACTCATTCATGATCTCCATAATAGAACCCACAGCCAACATAACAAGGGTACACTGCTATTCAATGACAATAAGCCTGATTTTACATTAGGATAAAACCTTCCTTCACTACCAGTAGCAGTATCTTCAGGAAAATATTTCTGACTTTATTACAGGCATCCAACCTCAAAGGCCACAGGCTATGTATGAGAAGGAAAGGGAAGTTTAACTCATGTGGCTTCAGTTTTCAGGATACAATCCTTTCTCCTTCAATTTATTACTAAAACTTATTCCCAAGGAATCTGTGTTATCAGGTAATTTTCACATCTGTATACACAAAAGAAACCCATTTCCTGCTGAATGAAATCAACAAACAGAGAATTAAATGTGAGGATTCAAAATGTCAACAGAATCGAAGCTACTGCTGTGATGTAGACAGCTGATGAAGAGGATAATGATGGAAAAACACCAAAAAGGCCAGGCGGTGATGGGGCACGCCTTTAGTCCCAGCAGAGGCAGGCAGATCTCTGTGAGTTCGAGACCAGCCTGATCTACAAGACCTAGTTCTAGGACAGCCTCCAAACCACAGAGAAACCCTGTCTCAAAAAAACAAAAAGAAAGAAAACAAAAACAATAAAAGCAACAACAAAGACACTAAGAAGAGCAAAAACTTCAGGTCTGAGCCACGCGGTGGCGGCGCACACCTTTAATGCAGCACTGGGAAGGCAGAGGTGGGCGGATCTCAACGAGGTCAAGACTGGTCTGGTTTACAAATCAGAGTTCTAGGACAGCCAGGGCTGTTACACAGAGAAACCCTGTCTCAGTAAAAAAAAAAGGAAGAGGAACAGGAGGAAAGTTGGGGCAATTGCAGCAGAATTATAGAAGTATAAAGATTAGAGGAAAAAAGCTATACGAAGATACTGTATTGAATAACTCATTCTAAACCTGCCACCTTCCTGCTTGTCCATTAAGTCCTTTCTGTCTTGCTTCTAAATAAACAATCTTCTGTGCTGGGAAGATGGCTCAGTATGTAAATAAAGAGTAAGGTGCTTGTTGTACAAGCATAAGGAATTGAGTTCAGAATCCCAGCATCCAGGTAAAAAGTTGAGAGTGTCAGTGTTTGTCTCTATCCCCAATGCTGGGAGAAGAGGGCAGGCCCTGGGGACAGCAGGTCCAGCTAAAATGGCAAGCTCCTGTTCAGTAGGAGACACTGTCCCAAAAAATAGGTGGGAAAGCTATTGAGGATGACATAGACCTACAGGCATGCATGTGTGCGCATGCACGCACGCACGCACGCGCACACACACACACACACACACCAGACTTTGCAAATACTTCAAAAGGTATCTTCTTTAATAAAAAAAAAAAAGCTACCTGACCCATTATCAGTTCTGTTCTCCTTTTACTTATACTTAGATCCTGACATCTTGCTGCCAAATCTCCAAATATCATAATTTGTTCTGTTCCACTCCATTCTAGAATTCCACCAGTAAAGACCAAGCTAATCCAGCTGTGGCAGTCTGAGTGAAAATGGCCCCCACTGACTCATAGGGAGTGGCACTATTGGAGGTGTGGCCTGCTGGAGGAAGTGTATCACTTGTGGAATGGTTTTTTGCAGTTTCAGATGCTCAAGCCAGGTCCAGGGTAGCACTCTCTTCCTGCTGTCTGCCAATCTGGATGTAGAACTCTCAACTACCTCTCCAGAACCATGTCTGCCCAAGTGCTGCCATGATGACAATGAACTAAACCTCTGAACTGTAGGGCAGCCCCATTTAAATGTTTTCCTTTATTAAGAGTTGCTGGGTCATGGTGCCTCTTCAAGCAATAGAAACCCTAAGTAAGACACCAGCTCTCTGACAAACCAGATTCCAGAACTTTAGCACTAAATTGTTCCTCCCTGTCCTCATTTCTTAGACCCTAGAGTTCCTAACCATACTTGTAACTCGAGTCTAAGGTTCCACAATAGATTAAGACATTTGTGAGACTAGAGTTGGAAGGAGCTAAATGTGCAGGGGACTGGAGGATTAGAGCAGGAAGGAGGCCAGTATATGAGGAAAGTAACAAGACCTTATTCCTGGGAAAGTAGGAGGAGATGGAACTCAGAACAAAGGCAGGGGATGCACCTTAGTGAGAGGAAGCTATGTCAGCAGAACTACCTGGAACTTCTATTATTATTATGATTATGATTATTATTATTATTAGAGAGGGTTTCCTAGTACAGCTCAGGCTGGCCTGAAACTCATTATGCAACCCAGGAGGTAAGCTCATGGCAATCCTCTTGCCTCAGCTTCCCAGAAGCTGGAATTATAAGTTTAAACTACCACACTGACCTTTAAAAGAAAATTTAAAGTTTATTTAAGTTAATTTTTAAATAACTTGAAGTTATACTAGATGTTACATCTGTGCAGAAATAAAATCAAATTCTTAGGGCACATTTAGAACCAAGGAAGGATTTATTAATAGTATCTACTGGCATTATCATCTATGAAAACACTTCAGAAACAAACATAAGATTTGCCACCCACTACTACTAAATGTGTTCTTTTTGTCATTTTAACTTTCATACATCTCTTTAGACATTTCTGACATCATAAGCTTAAATGGCATAGAACAAAAAGGCACTGAGTCACAGAATTCCATCTGCAGGGCATAAATTACAAATACGGAAGAGAGCAAAGCCAGGGTCTTAAGTCAGAAAGGATTTACAATTCAACTATCATCTCCACAGCCAGATAAATGGATGCTTAAGCAGAATCCCAGGGAACTGAATGGCCTTGCGAGGCTATGAATCAGCCACGTTAAGGAGATGGGCTTTAAAAGTAGGAGTCGACAATTTTAACAAGATCTGGCTTTCAGGGGTAACATCTGCGCTGCCCCATTATCCCTGGGGGGGGGCAATTCAATCAGGAATGAGGGTTTCTCCAGGTCTTCAAGGATAACTGCAAGCATGTGCTGCCAACTCCCAGCTCCTTGTCCAGTTATGCGTTCTTGGGAGTGATCCAGAGGCAAGCAAGTCTAAAAGGGTGGGCGTCACAGCCGCTCTTCACCAGATGGCTAACTTCCACCCATTCTACTCGGAACTGGCTGACAGCCTAACCCATCTGAGGGGGGGGAGGGGACTCAAACTGCACTGATGGCAAGACCCCTTGTAAATCCCTGGAGGGGCTGTGTCTCCTGCACCATGGAGATAAGGAAGGGGCGAGTTAATTTTATCACAGAAAATGGCGTTACCTGGGCTTCTTGACAGGCTGCTCTTCTTAGCAGGTTATCACTATCAAAGCAAACAAAAGAGACCCAGCATTAGCATTCCTAGAGATTAAGACCCAAACAGAATCGGTGAGTTCTTTAAAAAAAAAAAAGGGGGGCAGGGAGTAAGCTTAAGTCTAGATTTCTAAAAGACCTGATACCAAATCAGGAGCATAAGGAGCTTATTAGGGAAATGTTCCCTGAAGGGCGATCTCCACATGCTGGTGGATAGAACAATGCCCTAGACCCCCGAAACCCACAGTCCAATCTCCAGAACCTGAAGAACTGTCACTCCACATGGCAACGGGAAAGTTAACACAGGGCTTCAGGACAGAGAGGGCATCTTGCATCATCCAATATGTCTTTTAGGCAGAGCAGCCATTCTGGCTGTGGTCAGAACACATGTGACTCTGGGAGGGTGGTCACTCGGTGGCTTTAAAGACGGAAGGGGCTGTGAGTCCAGGAGTGCTGAGAGTCTCTCCTCAGAGCCTCCCATAGACAGTAAGATAACTGTCGATGCTGTGTTAACTGTAAGCTATTGGGTAGCAACAGGAAACTAATATACACGTCTTGGGTTTCTAGTATCCAAAGGATACTCAGGTCATTTGCCAAAGGTAAATCTGTTATTTAGCTACTTCTGCTATTATTTTATCCAAGTCCCCTATTTTTTTATTTCTCTATCAGACGCTCTGTTATATCACAAATGGAAATAAGAGGCAAAAGTTTGGCTTCCAAAAGTGAGAACATTCTTTCAGAATACAATCATGTGGTTGGAGAGATGGCTTAGTGGTTAAGAGCACTGACTGCTCTTCCAGGGGGATCTGGATTCAATCCCCAGCAACCACACTGCAGCTCACAACTGTCTGTAACTCCAGTTCCAGGTAATCGGACACCCTCACACAGACACACATGCAGAAAAAAACACCAATATTCATAAAATAAAAGAGAATTTGTCTAAAAAGAAAAACAATACGACCATGTGTTTCACACAAAGCTCTCCAAGATGTGTAGTGAGAGAACATTAAATGGCTCTGATTTCCTGCAGAGGCCAGTCTTCAATACCTGCACTTACACACTTGGTATTGTTAAGAAAATAACTGAAGAATTTTAAAGGAAAAAAAACTGGGAAGGGATTATGGGATTAATTTACATATATTCCTTGACCACCTCTACAACACTGGAGAGCTGGAATTTGGTATTTTGAGAGTAATTTCAAGACAAATACTGATAATTAGGGACGAACGAGAAGAAATAAAAATCAGTCAAGCTACACAATATCCCCCAAAATGGTCAATGACCTGGAAGCTAGGAGCGGTGTTCTATGAAAATTATAAAAGCACACATTGATGGAGTCGAGGGGCCCTGATCTGTTATAAGGTCTTGTCAGCGAGCGGCTCTGGCAGCCAGGTTCAGGCCCACCTGCTGTGTATGCTGCACAGCTTCCAGGTGCCAGGGGAGCTGGGAGTCTCCTCCCTCTGCCACCCAACACTTGAATACCTGCTGTTTTCCCCCTGAATCAAATCATTCCAACATTAGCAACTCAAACATATACACTATGAGCTAAATCCAGGGCACAAACTTCATTCTTAAAAACAGCATGCTGATAACCTTTGCCATTTAGTTGGTGTTTCACACTTCTTGTCTTATATGCATTGGAATGGTTAAACACTGAATTCGTGGGCACCTCTAGGCACAGAGTATTACCAGGTTCTTTGTAGCAATGATAGCATGGTACTAAAGGTCACCATGCTATGTGCACCAGTCACACCTAGCTTCCGTGCAACACTGCTACTAGTCTTCCTGGAGCCTCTCAAATGCTTGCTTTTAATATGGTTTGTAGTAGGCTGTTTGCTTCCAGTGTTTATCCGTGACCCCTGTGACTCTACCTAAGCTCTTGCCTCTATCAATGCTACAGATTGGTCTCTCCATCTCTGCTCATGTCCTCCACTGCTTCCTTCCAGGGTCCTACCACAGTGCCGGGCAACCACCAGAAGGCACTGGCTACTCCAGGGTTGAGAGCAGGGAACTCACCCTTGCTTTGTTTCAGCCATGACTCCCAGGCCCTAGAGAAAGAGAACAATCCCGACGAGCATGAGAAAATAAGCTAAGACCTCTGATCATGTCCCTCCTAATTCTTTGTTGCTACACGTAACACTGTGATAGCTAACCAGTGAGAAGTATTTTAAAGGTCATATGTCTTTTGGGATACAATCAAAAGAATTTTAATCTAATGTGCAAGCTAGAATATGCTGTCAGTGCCACCTGTAGGAAAGCAAGAATATGCACGAGCTTAGATCTTACACAGACAAGCCCAGTGTAATCAGAGTTTGTACGAGCTTAGATCTTACAAAGACAAGGCCAGTGTAATCAGAGTTTGTACGAGCTTAGATCTTACAAAGACAAGCCCTGTGTAATCAGAGTTAACCCTAATATCTAAATTACATGAACTATCTTGATCTTACTCTCTTAACCAGGATGTTTATAAAAGACAAATACATTCTCCAAGAAAAAGAATCCTTGCACTAAGACAGTCCCTCAGTTTCCTACAGGGATAGATCTAGGATACCTCTCCTCTACCACTGATACTCAAATGAACACTCAGAATGTTTAATACAAGATACAATGCTCTATACAAACAGTTGCAGTATACTGTCCAGAGACCCAAAATAAAAAATCATACATGTTCAGTATAGAATACTATTTATCAGCAATTGGTTCAGTCCACAGATGTCAAGCCTACAGGTATATATGGTCAACTATATTCTGATGATCTATAGCAAACTCTAAGACTGCTTCAAGAAATTCCAAAAGAGTTTCAGAAATATGGCTTTGCTAGAACTTAAGAGAAAATAACCTAAAACTCATTAGGCAATTATAATGAGCCAGCTATTGCAGCACCTCTGGATGCAAAGTGAGCTGCAGCCATAGAGAGGCCTGTGGATCCCACAGACCATCTCCTCCTAATCTCCCTCCCCCCACTGGTGGCTGTATCCCATCTCCCAATTCCAGCAGGCACCCCCAGCTAAACCACATGTAGAAGAATGCAAATAGATCCGTATCTATCACCCCACACAAAACTCCAGTCTAAGTGGATCAAAGACCTCAACAAAAAATCAGACACACTGAACCTGACAGAAGAGAAACTTTCTGAGCAAAACATAATGTGGACACTAAGATCAATGATTAATAAATGAGACCTCATAACACTGAAGATTTTGTAAGGCAAAGGACACTGTCAATCAGACAATTCACTGAACACGGAGAAGTTGAGCTAGTACCTACATAGAGCCTTCACCTCTACATTCTAGATCTCTTTGGTGCAGGAAGATACTCTGTAGGCTACAAAAAGAAAAACATGGACATCAAGCAAGACAAAACCTTCGACCTACAATCTGTCCTGCCCACATAATATATTAAGGTAACGGTGGCACAGAACTTGTGGGAGTAGTCTCATTTGAACGCGGGCTCACTCCACAAGGAACCTACATCCAACACTATTTGGGTAATGATGAATCAGAGACTAGATAGCCCAGAGACTTAGGGTAAAACCAAACACAACTGTTCAAAAAAAAGAATCAACAAAATGATTCCTAATAATATTCTTCTCAGAGATCAGTCTGTGCTTCATCAGAGAAGTTTCCTCCGACAGCAGATGGGAACAGATGCAGGGACCCACAGCCTGAAATTACGTGGGAAGACAGTCTAAACTGGAGGTCTCCATCAAATCCCTCCCCCCAGAGCTTAGGGAATCCTTTGGAATTGGAGGCCAATAGAGTAGATGGGGTGGTGGGGGGATACCAGGAGAACAAGGCCTTCTGAATCAACTAAGTAAGAACTCATAGACTGAAGCAACAAGAACAGGGCTACACAGGTCTGTTCCAGGCTCTCGGTATAAATTACAGCTATTAGCTTGGTGTTTTTATGGAACTGACTGTGAGAACAAGTGGGTCTCTCTCTTTCTTGCCTACTCTTAGGACTCTTTTCCTCCTGTTGGGTTACCATGTTCAATTTTGATGATAGTCTTTGCCTCATTTAATTATATTTTATTTCGTTATCTTTATTGTTATCTGTTAGAAGTCTTTCTTTTCTAATGAGGGAGAAATGGAGTAAATAAGAGGGGAGGGGAGGTAGGGAGGAACTGGGAGGAGTAAAGGGAAACTACAATCAGGATATAGTATGAGAAAAGAAGCTATTTTCATTTATTTTATTTTATTAGTTTTTGTTTGTTTGTTTTTCGAGACAGGGTTTCTCTGTATTGTTTTGGAGGCTGTCCTGGAACTTGCTTTTGTAGACCAGGCTGGTCTCAAACTCACAGAGATCCACCTGCCTCTGCCTCCCGAGTGCTGGGATTAAAGGTGTGTGCCACCAACACCCGGAAAGAATCTATTTTCTTTTTCTTTTCTTTTCTTTCTTTCTTTCTTTCTTTTTTTTTTTTTTTTTTTGGTTTTTACGAGACAGGGTTTCTCTGTATTATTTTGGAGGCTGTCAGTCCAGCCTAGCCTCGAACTCACAGAGATCCGCCTGCGTCTGCCTCCCGAGTGCTAGGATTTAAGGCGTGCGCCAACACCGCCTGGCAAGAATCTATTTTCTATAAAAGAAAAACATGTATTAAAAAAGGAAATAAAAACAGACAAGGCAAAAACTCTGGTGGATAATTGTGGAAAAGGGTTAAGTTTTCCTTATTTCCCATCATTCCCTTTGATGTTGCTTTATATTTCTTGTTTCGCTTCTCCTAAAAGGGACCTCCAAGAATTTGGTCATTTTCTTTCTCTCCAGATATTAAGGTTTAAATATGAAATATCTCTAATTGGTCCATGTTCCAGACACTCGGTCCCCAGCATGGGTGCTGTTTTCAAAGCTATGGTGCCTTAGGAGGCGGTACCTAGCTGATGGAGGGTCACTAGGGGGTCAGCCTTTGAAGGAGACCCTGCCCTTGATTCCAGCTACCCTCTCTTGCCTTCTGACCACATGCTCCCACTGACATGCTTTCCCCAGCATGATGAAGTGTAACCCATGTGACACAGC